AAGAGTACCTGAGTATTTGCATGATATTGTCCCCAATAAGCGTGAGCATGTATCTCTATACAATACCCGTAATAAACAAGATTATATTGTTCCAAGGTGTAGATTAGAATTATTTAGAAACTCTTTCGTACCTGATGCTGCAAAACAATGGAATTTACTAAAAACAGAGGTTAGAGAAGCCATCTCAATCAAAACATTCCGAAAAAACTTGATAACAAAAATTAAAAATCCACCATCATACTTCTCTTTTGGTAAGCGATACACCAATATCATTCATACTAAGCTAAGACATTCCTGTATTCTAAATTATGATCTTTATAAACGAAACATTATAAATAGTCCCTTATGTTTATGTGGAAAAAACGAAGATGTGTACCATTTCTTTTTTGCATGCAAAAATTATTCTAATGCAAGAAGTACTCTTTTTAATCGCTTGTTCACTCTTGAACTGGTTACTATTGATATAAATCTATTATTATGTGGTGATGTTAATTTGCCTTTACAGATAAATAACAGTATTTTTGCTGCTGTTCATAAATTTATTGACGAAACATGTAGATTTTCTAGTTGATATGCTATTTAATTGCTTTTTCACTTGTATTAATTGTATTATTTTCTTCTATTTTGCATGACAAATTGTTATATATAAGGAGAGGAACTTTGTAAGTTGTAAAGAACTTGTTTCCAATCCTTTTGATGTACTCAATAAAATATGTTCAAAACAAACAACAAATATATTGTGAAAGTCTTGGGGAAAAATAGCCCATTTTAGGCTGAAAATTAGCACTATTTTAGTTATATCTAAAAATTAACATCACATACCCCCACTTTTAATTTTATTTTCTGAATAAACAAGATAATTTTAACCATTCTGCTTAATCTCAGAAAAATGTCATTACTTTCAAAAGATTTTATTGCTTGTTAAATTTTTAATGCCAGAAAAATGACATTTTTTGAGAGCAAAAAGGTCAAATAATTGACTATGCGAAGTAATATGAAACACTTTTTTTGTTGTCACAAATTTTAAAGAGACTATTCAAGACGAAAAAAGACTGTATTTGTTCCCATAATTTATTTGGATAAAATTTATGAGGAAAAACTTTGAAAAATTGATTTATGTGTAAGACGTAATTAAAGTGCAAAAAGGTCATATTAAATGCTCCGTAGCTCCGAAAGAAGTGCATTGACCCCCATTTTTGGTTTTGATTTTTAATTAAGCTATGTGTCTAGATTCCCAAAATATACTTGATAAAAAATTCTCAATACTTTTGATAACAGGATCCAACCTCCTTAAAGAGATATATCAATTTACGCACAAGAAACTGTAAGAAAAGCAGTTGTTTTTCGTGGACTTAATAATCATTATTTTGTTTTCAATAACATATTCATAATCAAAACTGGAATGCCTGACACATAAACTCTGAACCATGATACATCTTTGGATATACACTGTATATTCTCAAAATATTCAACATGTTTGTACACAAACATCGACACTATTTTGCTTAAAAGGTTCAGAATACAAATACAAAAATAATTTGTCATTGTAGTTTAGGTATTAAATATATTTTACGCAACCAATCTTCACAAAGTGAGTTTTCTTTAGGAGAATTTTACTGTCAAAAACAAAAGTAGCATTCTTGTAACTTGTACATTGTACTACGTAAATGTTAAATCACACATGAAGACAGCAATTTTCTCAAAGTTGTCGATCATATGCATATTTGCAAGTTTTCTTCGGTTGTTTGTATACAGCTGACATGAATGTCACTGTTTTTTTTTTATTTATTAATTATTATTAATTAATTACATGTAATTATTGTCAACTGCTGACTCCAGTGTATTAATTAAATTGTGAAATTACATATATAAAGTATATGTACTGGTCTGTGCTCCATAATTATTTCTGTTTATCTAACTTGTATGTATTCCAGCTATTTCACGTGTATCTTTTATATTGTCTTTGTATATATTGTATATAGAACCTCGTGTACCACTAAGTGGTTTGGGTGAATAAATTGAATTGAATTGAATGCTGAAAAGTATCATTAATTTACTTTAAGATATAATACAAAACACTAATTTATGGTACCACACGTGTTATAAGAATTTTTATTTTTATAGAAGCAGTGCTAATGAAAGTATGGAAAAATCTGCAAAAATTGTATTTTTTTTTCTTCCGATCCATCTGCAGCTAAATTTTTTTTCCATGAAATGTAAAGATAACGAACAGTAATCAAGCTCAAAAATCCAATAAAACAAATTGCGAGTAGAACATACATGGACCTCTGAAAACATCTGAGGTGCGATCAGGTGCCATGAAGGAGTAAGCATCCCCTGTCGACCGGCTACATGATCAGAAGTGTGAGACTCCGGAGTCTTTTATTTCTAGTTCAATGGGATATATCAAATCACCAAATTAATGAATAAATAGTTAATTCATAAAACGTTATTGATATATTTGAATGTCGAATCGAAGGCCACTTCTTTTCATGTAGTAGGTTTTGAATAAATTTTTGCTACAGAAGTCTGCTAATAATGGAACACAATTAAAACCCAGATTGTTGGAAAACCTGGTATCCATTGCAATGCATTATATAGATATTGACAATGAGACTCTTAAGCATCCTTTTAATATGAATTTCAGAGTACTTGTGAGTGGAATCAGAATGGTTTTTAACAAACTAAGGTTGTAGATGACCAATGACAAGATAGGAAAATTTGCGAGTTCCATTGTTATTAAAGAAGCAGTTGTCTATGATGTCAAAAAAAAGTCTTTAATTTATAACTCATGAGAACATAAAATTTTCCAATGTAGAGGAAAAAATAATTGCATATTGTAAATATACCATCGTTAAAGAGCTTTATGTTTTATGGCTTAAAAAAAACACACTTGCAAGTCTAGAATTTCTGTGGAGCAAAATACTAGTGAGATCTAATACTCCGCGTACCATTGACAGATAACGTGATTCATACACGGAGACTTTCTTCAGTTTCAAATACTTCAAACGTCAGATTAGAAATACACACTATATTTAAACCTCTTCAACATTCATTTACGATTACTATAAAACTTGACAATATTTATCAGTCACGCGAGATTCAAACTTCCTTAGGGCAGATTATGAAAACAGGAAAACTTATAAATAAAATTTCTTCAAGAAACACAGAAAGAGCAAAAGATGGTACCCAATAGAAGGTTTAAGAAAAATAGTTCCACCTCAAAAATGTTAACGCTCACACAAGTACATAAAACATGTATTTTTCACAGTCGGTAACCAGGCGATAATATTGTAGGGCAAATATATCAGGAGAAGAGGGGGTTACCATTATACAATTAACATAATTACACAAATACTACAATTGGTAGAAGGAAAAAGTAGTCAGAAGAGGAGCGGTTGCTATGGATGAGATTGCACCCCATTTAGAAAAATATATAGTAAAAAAGCTTAAGGTGGGCGAACAAGGCAAGCGAAATGCCTGTTGTGTGACTAAAAAGAAAGTGAAAAATTTAAACTTAATTATGACAAAGTTTTCCTTGATATTTCATTTAACATTAACGTATACTTTATGTAAAATCGCAACAAACTCTTGAAGATTGAAATTATTCGTCTATGAAATAGCAAACAATTGAACATTTAGATGTATCTACGACGTTTTATCAATTATCAATATTCATTTTCATTCGCAGGTTGATTCGATAAATCCATTTTAACTCGAAATAAAAGATACTGTAGAGTCTGACACATCTGTTTCATATTTGGATATTTTACTAGAAATAGACGTTAATGGCAATCTAACAACAGAACTTTATGATAAACGTGATGACTTCAACTCTCTACCGCCAACTTACATTATTTATGTAGCGATAAACAGTAATCACCTGCATATGGAGTTTATGTCTCCCAGTTGATTCGAAACGCAAGAGCATGCTCTACATACGAACAATTTCTAAAACGAGGCAACAAATAAGTTGAGGAGAACAGAATATCAACAGTCTCGTTTAACATTCGCAAATTCTATGGTCGAACGAATGATATTCTTAGCAAAAACAATCTATCGAGTCGAATTTTGACTGACGTTTTTCATACAAATTGTAAGGCCATTATTTTTACACTGCATGAATTATCTAAGGATTTTTCCGTTTGTCCGATCATGAAAAGGAGCACATGACGGGTGTGGCCAGTAAGGGATGCTTACTCCTACATGGCACCTGATCCCGCTTCTGATGTTTTCTGAGGTCCGTGTTTGCTCTGCTCCAAATTTGTGTTGTTTTAATGGACTTTGAGTCTGATCACTTTTCGTTATCTTCATATTTCATCTGAAAGGGAAAATTGATACTCAGGATTTTTATTGCTTGGGTTTGAACCCCAAGAATCCCACATTTTTTTAAATTGTAGAATGATTTTTGTCGAGAAAATTCCGCAGAAAAATTTAATTTCAGACATTTCAGTGATATGAACTTTACTTTAAATACTCACAAATTGAATATGACTTTTCTACTTTTTTAAGCTATAGGCATTTTGCACGCTTTGTTCACCCATGTCCTTTGTACATGTATCTAACTTTATTAGAATTTCATAGATGTCAATTAAATGTGAAATGATTCCAGAATGCACCAGAACTCACCAACAAAGTATCCATATACATGTAAAAATATATTTTTAAAAATCTGGCGGGGAAGGGGAGGGGGGACGTGCCTGCATTTCCTGGCATGACTTTAAGCTCATAAAAACCTTCAGATGTAAGGATCGAGGCAAAACTTAAACTTATTCAGTTTTACAAGATTTAGAGACTGCAAGCTTGTTCAATCGTTTTAGTGTCTTTTTTTCTATTAAATTAGAATTAACGCTCTCCCTTCTAATTTCTTTAATCTTATGCGCATATAATAGAACTTCATTGGTCACTTGGAAAACAACGATACTTTCTCACCTGTCGTTCAGGTAAATATGCATTAATGACATTATTAAGATAAAGTGCCCTCCCACCCGAACACGGTGAAGACGACGCTATCTTTACTCTGACACAGAGAATTGACTGGTTCACTTGAACGTTCTACATTCCGGGGTAACCCTATTGATATCAACAATATCATACAAAAGCTTTTAAAACATCAATAACTTGAGGAGTCTAGCCAACGGACGTGGAAGCACAGTTTTACCTCCCCTTGTTCATTGGTGTTTCTACTTAAAATGGGAGGAAAGGTATGTTTATGTTCGTTTAGGATTTAATTTTTCCCCAATTATCTGTGATGGCTGTTATTATTTTCCATTTTCGTACATCTAAAAAAAATTAATTTTCTTTTTTTTTCTCTTAGATTACAATTTAAAATTTCGGGGGTATAAGTGTTTGGATTAACACTCGATTGTATGACCAAATTTTCATTGATAAAACGAATTTTACCTATCGGTCACCGGGGTCAGATAATGCAAAACTTGAATGAAGTGTTTACTTAATGTATAAACAAACTCATACATTCTTATTTTTATTGTTAATATTTGGATTTTCAAATAAAAACGATTTTTATTTTCGCAGAAAATATCAGGACAAATTATTTTTCCGCATATGGAGATATTACCTGGAAGTATTTGCTTGGAATATGATTGCAAAATTTGATAAAATTTCATTTAAACATAACAAGGTTTGACTAATCTATGTATGTTTGTCTTTATCTGCGAACTCAAAATTATTTATGCAGAAGGAAATTTAATACGAATAAATTGGTAGAGAGGATATTAAGAGGGTATTATATATATAGAGCAAAAAAAAAAAAAAAAAAAAAAAAAAAAAAAAAAAATCCAAATTGTTTTATTTCCTACCATTAATTATTACTGTAAAACGACGTACATGTAAAAAATCAGTATAATTATTCTGCTACTAGTTTATACAGAAAGCGGTACGAAGTAAAAACTAAATATGTACCATGAAATACACCATGATGGTTGGATAACATAAAGATAATTTACTAAATCTACTAACTATTTTATCTATCGTATTATCAAACATTCTGTTTCATTTCAAAATAATGATTTTAAGTTTTTATCATTTGGTGACATATGGACAAAAAAAGGTAAAACAGCGAAACACGTGTTTATAGTTGCCTCATATTTTATACCTTATCTGCTTTAACTTAGCAGGTCTAATATATGAGAGTACAAAACTGATATTTTTACAACTTTCTTTAAGATATATAATTCCTGTTAAAGTTTCAATATAAAGTCAGCAAGTACTAAGACTTAAAAAAAATCACAAATATTTCGTTTTTAAACAAATTAACAACAAAACGAAGGATTTACATGAATAGTTTTGAATGAAAATACAGAAATTTTATTTGCTGGAAATACATTTTTTACTAACACAGGGTTTAAACAAATTTATAATATATACTTTTGGGTTGATTTCGATCGTTTTAAGGGACAGCATTGTGTTTGAAACACTGTGACTACTGATTTATGGCGCCCTTTGCAGACAAAGTAAATACGTAAACAATGACATTTTTATATATATCCATTTTACGACTGAAATGTTGGTGGATATACTTATATAGTGCATGATTATCTAACATTGACACCAAAGTGCCTAAATTTATTCCGACAGATTATGATATACTCAAATATTTGATTTTTCCGCCAAATTAATTGCGAAGAACAGAAAATAAAATATACAGGGAGTTACTTTCAAACATTTATCATAATGTCCGTCCCGGATTTCTTAACCCTTTTACCTGTCCTTATCAGTTGGTTTTTGGGTAGTAATAGGCGCTCCTTATTGAGGCTTTGAAAAGCAATGTTTGAAATCAATCAATTTTCTGTTATCATTTGTTTGTCGTCTGCCAACTGCTTCTTAAGTAACCTGCAGACTTGGATTCGAAGACCTGGACACAATTTAAAACGTTTAAAAGACCCAAAATTAATACCAATAATAATATCATTTACCCAGATGTTTACGAGAAATTTCATCCAGTGTTATACTATACAGACAGTATCGTTTTTAATCATTATGTACAAAACTTGTTCAAGTGAATTTAAATAGTGCTGAAATACATGTATAATTACAGCCTTGTTCTAAAGTTTGAAGATGAATCAGTTCCTTGAATGTCATTGATTGTGTTCCGGGTAACAATCTTTAAAATGTTGAGATAAGTCAAAAATTGTCATTCATAGTCATCTCAATCACCCATAAATCAGTGGCAATGTTATAAATGAAACATTCCATTGAGGAGTGCTTATCCCCCATAAAACTTGAAGGGCTAGATGTAAAAATAAATTTTGAAAGTGACCAACCCATGGGGCAAAGGACAGAAGATTACAGCATTCAGTGGGGTGGAGGGGTCACGTTGTTTGTCGATTATGCTTTTGAGGAAACACAGAGTCTTTTCATATTTTTAGTCTTCATTCTATTAAGTTTTTTAAAAATATCATATTGGAAATTAACCAGGTAACACAGAATAACACGTGTAGTTATAGTTTTTACAGCTTCGGAACATTTCTGATATCTCTCTCTCCAATATTACAAATGGATACTTTTAATCACTCTTAAGAGAACCTAAGTGTATATAAACTTTTTCAGCAGTTGGTTTGTAGTATAGTACTTTTCATATAATTACCTGTCTACAATTTGCTAACAGGATTTAAACACTAATCCATAAGGACCATTAACTTTTTTTTTCAGTCCGTTACGCATTTCATTAGTCCGTCCTATGTCATATGAAAATGATAATACGTTGATAATCCCACATTGTTATCTTACACCCCCTTTTTGGACGTACCTTTATATAAGATAAAATTTAGAATAAAAATTCTAATTCTAATTCAAATCTAGCTACAGAAAAACCAGTTCAGCATATCAAACATGATTTTCATTATGTTTAATTACATTCATATTTTGATTTTTTAAAAAAACTTCGACTTGTGTGTGGTCATGTATTATTTTGTTTGCTTGCTGTTTTTTTTTTTTTTTGAATTTGTTTATGTTTGTTTGTTTGTTTGTTTTTGTAAATGCATGGTAATATGGAGTAACATAAACCTAAAGTGTCACAAAACCATTAAAATAAATGTTTTCTTGATTGTGTTAATGAGGAAAAAATGGTTGAATTTTTTTGTGCTTTTAGGGATATTAGCCTTACCCATATACATGACCTAATTATTTACAACTATTGTGGTAAGTGAATTGTTAAATATCATCAGTGCGTTTCAATAGTATGAAAGTAATTGTTGACTTGAAGATACGGTCCCATGTTGACACCAGCTGCTGTGAAAACGGCATGAAAGTTTAAAAATATTTGATAAATTTTTCATAAATAAACTAAGATGATTTTATGAAAGAGAATGAAAAATCCCCCTCCCTCTTGAAAATCTGGCAAAGTTTTAAAATTTCGCCCCAGTCTCGTCTAGCTGAATCCTGGAAATACATAAACATGCGTTCCTTTTTTATTTCGTCTAAATATTATAAATTTATGAATTATCACAATATTATGAATTTTCACAAATCCATACTGACTAGTGCTTTATAAACTTTAATAGTCCGACACATTGTCTACTAGTCTTAGACTTAACGGTCATGAAGTAATTTTGAACCTTGATTGAGTTATATATATCATCATTAAATTCTGTATTTACTGCAAAAAATTGAAGACTTTTTTCTTATATTTGCAAATCAAATAAGACACTGACAAGCGATTACCAAGGAAATGTAACCTAGTTCTATTAAATGTCACTCTCCGAAGTCTGCCGAAAAAAAGAAAGAAAAAAAGAATATCCTATATAGTTACGATGTTATTTAGAACAGCCCTGAATCTAAGGGATACGTACAAGATAGATTTAATTTCAAAAAGCAAACATACAAATATTCAAGTATCCCAAACAAAATGCATTCTTTTATATTTCACAATATTTACAATATTGCTATTAATTCCTTTGAGATTTTCATATTAATTACATTCTAGCAAGATCTGGTCACGAATTTTACAAAAAGATTACCTTTGGTAGGCGTTGACTACCTACATGTCAATCAGAACTTCTCAGATCTCATCCTATAGAGGAAAAGGAGCTTGCTAGAAAATTGCAATGACCTTGGCCTTTAGATGTGGTCTTGTCATGCATGTTCAAGATCATCAATGTCAGGTAAAAGAGTATTGTGACATCATTTTTGTGTAGAGCTCCAAGGTCATTCTTTTTCATAGATTCAGAGATAGAGCCTGACAAATGTCCTAGCTCGACTGCTGTAATGACCCTCATCTTTGAGAAATGATTTTTTAGCCAAGGCCATGATACACAACCTTTGCAGATAAAAAAAAACCGTGTGTGAAGTTTGATACAGGCAAGCATCAATTCAATTTCGAAAAAACAAACACTACCGAACACAAAAAGTATAGAACGGATTCAGGGAATCTGAGACTCTTTCCCCGCCCCACTTTAGAGCGTTTATAGAAATCTAAAAAAAAATTGTGTTTGATCATCAAAATTCTTCATTGTAGAGAGCGGAATGGTCGAACCCTGTGGAGTTTATTTTAACTTGTGTGGGGTTTGCTGTTGGTTTGGGTAATGTCTGGAGATTCCCCTATTTAGCATTCAGGAACGGAGGAGGTAGGTCAAAATTTCATTAAATCTACTTACAATGCACAATAGAATTGTCATCGTATGCAAAAACACGCAATTTTCCCGATCTGTATATTGGTGTGACGAATGTGTAAATTTAAGTTCATAAGAGGACAATTATATTCACGAAAATGCATCATCCAATTTGGATTACCGAATCAAGTCTTCATTTTAAAACACCTAAAAAGTAGTATGTAATCAAATTTTGTACAAGACCATGCATTTATAGTATTTCCCTTAATCCAGGCACGACTACGGACCATAAAGTATTGTACCATGATGTTCAGATCGGTTTCATGTAACACACGACAATCTGTTGAATTTCAATGAGATGTTCTACTACTCTTTAACCTTGTTATTGTTCATTACTTTCAGGGGCATTTCTTATCCCGTATTTCATTTGCCTGGTGGCCATTGGAATCCCCCTCTTTTATTTAGAAATCGCATTTGGACAGTTTGCCAGTCTCGGACCCGTTAACATATGGAAAATAAATCTTTTGATGAAAGGCAAATATTTTTATGATCAGCTTAAGGTTCATCACCCTCCGATAAGAGAGATAACTCTCACCGAGATAAATAACTATTATTTCCTTTATAAAATTTTTAATTCAAAAGAAAATTTCTGTCAAATTTTGCCCCGCACGGTATGCTGAAAATGTGTGCCTTTATAATTATAAATTCGATTTCATTTGGAAAATCATTAGCGTTAAAACAAAATTTTACATGAGTGATCAGAGGGACGATGAACCTTAATTTTCTAATCAAAAAAATTATACCTAATTATTTTGGAAAATGTCAAATACCTTTTTCTTGTACTTGAAATTTACGAAACATATTTCAGATTTAGTTCTCACTAAATGTATTCATTTTTTTCTTTAAAAATAGGATTGGGGTTTTCCATGATAACAGTTTCAGGGGGTATAGCCCTGTATTATGTGGTCATTATTGCTTGGTGCTTGTACTATTTCTTTGCTTCGATGACGTCATATCTACCGTGGCAAGATTGCGACAACAACTGGAATACATGTCTGTGTCAAGATGGCAAACGGAATTTTTCACTGCCAGATCCCTGGCTCGGAGCACGTAATGAGTGTTGTAAGAAAAATTTTATTTTTAGTGAAAAAAAAAATAATTCAAAGATATTTGCAAGACCAGGAGTACTATATATTCAAAGAAAAAAAAAATTAAGATTTTCTATTCACAATGCATGCATTTTAATTTTTGATGTGTTTGCTTAGTTGATTCTTTTTCCTGTGGTCCAGAATTGAACCAGGAACATTCTTCGCTTTTAACTGAAAACCGTTGACTGTATCTTTTTCAGTGACTTTTGATTATCCTATAAACACTACTGGGGTTGCTGTCAGTGAAGAATATTTCAGGTATACATAAACAAACGAAGTATATAATAATTGATTAATAATTCTAACACTATCTAAATTGATTGACCTGGAATTGAAGGAACAGAACATATTAAACGTTTTTAAGATTTCTCTTCCCTTTCTCAGACGTCGGGTTTTGGAGATCACGGACGGATTCGAGTCCACCGGAGGTGTGAAATGGGACGTAACTCTGTGTAACCTTCTGGCCTGGACGATTATTTTTATCGTTTTGTCCAAGGGTATCAAAACACTGGGGAAAGTATGTATCAACAAAAACTTTGTTTTTATTATCAACGAGTTTGTTAAATATGCGAGTCCATAAAAATAAAGTCACCACAATTCCTCATAAGCACAACTCTTCCGTAAATCCTAAGTTTATAATCTTGAATATTTTATTTACCAGGTTGTGTACTTTACAGCTATTTTCCCATACGTTTTACTCACAGCTCTTCTCATCCGGGGACTTACACTGGATGGCTACAAACAAGGAATAGAATACTACTTTACTCCCGATCTGGATAAACTCACGGACGCCAGTGTAAGCAGATTAGTCTAAGGATCAACATTTGAAATATATATTCATTCTATATGTTGGAACCATACAGATAAATTTTTGTGCTTTCTTCATATATAACATCGAGTAGATTTTTTGTTTAATATGAGCACTCGTGAATTCGTACTCTTAATCCTCAAACTCACTCAAAAAAAGAATACCTACATTATTGTTTTATTTAGGTATGGTCGGATGCTGCGGTCCAGATCTTTTACTCTCTCAGTGCTTGTCAGGGAGGACTAATAGCGATGGCCAGCTTCAATAAGTTCGATAATAATGTTCTGAGGTACGCCTAATTTTGTTATGTTTTAAATTTTGAATTTACTGGGTGGGAGTACATACAAAATTCAGAACATGAACTCTAAATTTTGTATGGACTCCCACCCAGTAAATTCACGATTTAGAACATGACATTTTCCTTACTCCAGGAAAGGGCAATGCGACGCCTTTTTTTTGGTAACTTGATACTAGTTAAAAACTCATTTGATCTACATGTACTTTTCTAGCAAACAACCCGATTGATTTTCATTGCTTATATTATAGTTTTATCAATTGTTATTGTAAGCTCACATGAATCTGATTCACTCCCTCTGGAAAGAAAATTCTGGGGTGTAATTCTGCTGTATTTATGCAGGTTTTTTTTAACATCTTCACAACGTCATATAGGGGTCTAGAGTCCACACTTGGCTGTGGGACGTACACGAGGGGACTCATTACTCCAGACGTTGTGATGATGGTTTTGTAATTAGGAATACTAGTAACTTTCCTTATTGGTAAATTCTACAGACCACACTGTTTGTTTTTGTTTTTCAGAGATACGTTTTTGGTCCCAATAATTAACTGCTTAACGAGTCTCTATGCAGGCTTCGTCATCTTCTCAGTTTTGGGATTTATGGCGGAAGCTAAAGGCGTTACGGTTCCAGAAGTGGCCAAGGGAGGTAAACCATATTTACCATTTGAAAATAGAGCTTTCGACTGTTACAATTTTACTCTTGTAGAGGATGATGATGTAGTTTTCATCCAATGCCTCCATTCCTAGACAGACTATGAAAAGTGGACGTATTTCTTAAAAAAATACATTTAATTATATCTATGAAGGATCATCTCCCCATTAACTTGTGAAAAAAATATTTCCTGCACTGTAAACATTTTAAAAAAAGTTTGTGGATCAGCTTAATTCAATATATTCCAGGTCCTGGTCTGGTGTTTATTGTCTACCCAGAAGGTTTGGCTCAGATGCCGGTAGCACCGTTATGGTCAATATTGTTTTTCTTCATGATGGCGACATTAGGATTCAGCTCAGCGGTAATATTCTTAAAATTCAAATGTATAGTCATTGAAACTGTTTTATTATTAGATGTAAGGTATAAGGTCATGATTAGTGTTTGTCTACATGTGTCATAAAGCCATGCATTCATTCAATATATAATGTCTCTTAATAGTTTTCCATTGTTGAAACGGTAATGACTGGTCTCCTGGATGAATTTCCGGCCCTCTCTAGATCAAAATGGCGAGTTCTTGGTTTCCGGTTTGGAATCTGTATGTCTGGGTTTCTTTTGGGACTTCCAATGACAACTAGAGTAAGACTAAGTACAATATTAAAAGTGTTCTGGTAAAATACTAATATAAAGTTTTTATCAGTTCAACTTTTTTTTGGATAAGTGATACACATTTATTGTAAAACTATTGGTTTATCAAGGGAGGTGATTACATGCTTACACTTGTGGACAATGCTGTTGGTGGGTTTCCGCTGTTGTTTGTTGGATTCTTGGAGGTTGTTCTTTTATGTTACGTATATGGTAAGCATAGGACTAGAATTACTACCAGTGTTGAAAATTATTTATGTAATGAACTTTTTATCAACTCGTCGTACATTTTGCTAAGAATAATGGATTTTTTCATGCAGATCACATTTAACATGCAGATTAGTAAAAACAATCAAATACTACACTTTTCACTTTCCTTGTCTGAAATCTATATAAAATAATAACATGTGAAGGATTAACAAGCATGTAAATTTAACAAAAATTGTATAATTTGCAGGTTTCTTCAGATTTAAGCGGGATATTGAGATGATGATTGGTGACCGACTCTGTGTCAAACCCTGCTTCTGGTATTTTGGTGCCTGCTGGATGCTTATATCTCCATTGGCACTATTGGTCAGTTTCCACAAAAAATACTCACTAGTATTTAGAATCCGCTTATCTCATCTGAAAAAAACCTAATCTTTATACATGTATCTCCTCTGTTCCTTAAATTCAGATTAACCATATTACAAACCGAATAAGCTTTACTAAGCCTATTTTGATGACCTATGATCATAGGAATACCTCAAAAATTATATTTTAAATGGTAATCATTTATGGAAAATGAAGAACGATATTTAAAATGCGGTATGATATTATTTAACTTCTTTCTTTTTCCAGGCAGTAATTATCTTCAAAATTGTTCAAACAGAACCTCTGGAAAGTGATGGTTATTTGTACCCGGACAGTGGTCAGGTGATCTTCTGGTTGATTCAAGTCACGTGTTTGATTGGAATTCCTGGTTGGTTTATATACTACAGCTGTAAAAAGGGCCTTGGGAAGGTAATGTACACCACCACTAAGCTCAAATCAAAATCGATTTTTTTGAAAATTAATACATTCCAAATTCATCCAAGAATTTTTCTCTCAAAAGAAGTTTGAAATTTATTGACATGTTTTACAGCCGACAGCAGACTGGGGGCCCGCCTTACCTGAGAACAGAACAGGTCGTTATTCCGTCGCATTCAATGAAATCACTACCAATGGATCCGCCCCTGCAAATGATTACTCAGTTGACATGATGAAAATGCAGCCCAATGAATATGACAATAAAGCTTACGTGATAGACACGGGAGACACAACTGCCACAAAGTTCTAGAAGAAAAATCACCCAAAAATTAACTGTTCTCTGTCTCCGTGACCCTCTTAATTAATCGTAATTAGGGTTGAAGGACTGATGAAGATGGAGACGTGAAAAATTCAGCTTTATTTAAAGGGCGTAATTATATACGATAAGCTGACATTAAAAAGTATTCCACCAGCCATATCCTTTTTAATGAAGCAGAAGGCATATATGGAAATCAAACTAAAAACAGTTGTTATAAATTCTTTTACCAAAGGGAAGTAGATCTTGACATTATTGTATAATTTTTTTTATATCAATTATACATATATAATCAAGTTATAGTGTATTATGTTTTATGTAAATAAAATTAAAATACACTTTCGGGTGCATTGATTCCTATTTATTGAGGCGACGCTGTGAATACTCATTGTTCGCTGATGCCAGTCAATCAACACCTGACTACAATAGGTAAAATTTGTTCAACGAAAATGATATTGCATCCCTAGCGAAAATAAATTTATTATGTAAAACACCTGTAAACAACAAAAACATTTTTACTTCTAATATAATTACATATAGCACATGAATTGCCTTCCCGGTTCGGTATTTTGGATGTCTCTGAAAAGTGTACAAGGTAATTCCCGGAAAATTTTCACACCACTCGGCACACCTCTGCGGATTCGTACCTTTTATAAAGGTGACAGAATTACCCGAGGTTTGCCGAATGATAATCACACAAACAAGCATTGTGACGTCATACTATATGACGAAACAAAACATTATCAACCAAACACAAAGGGCTGCGTAAAGAGTAAGTATAAATTCTCTGTATCTTTATAGTTTGAAATTCTAGAGAAATGGCATTTTTGAAATAGAAAAAAGTTATGAGTTGTAAATGCTTGCTTTTTCTCTTAAACCCGAGTACCTAACATCCAAATACCCCTTATATAGCTCAATTAATGATTATGCTTAGAAAAGGGATGGAAACGTCAGCTTCAGCTATTTTGGTCTATTGTAGCTTGCTTTTATAAGAAAATATAATGGGTATGGATGACGGTCTTGTGTGGCAATTTTTTTTCTCAGACCAGATCTGCAGTTTATTGGTCCTCCTTTCTAATCTATAGTATAGTATTTGAGGAAATCATCCCTCCGACCATTCACTTATTGCATCGTTTTTGAAAGTTGGGGGGGGGGGGGGCAGCCAGAGAAAAAATTTCAACTTACCTGAAAAAGAAAACTTGACAAGCAAAAAAAAAAAAAGGAAAATTGAAAATATCCGAACTCGAAAATCCTTTTTCTTGGAAGGGGGGGGGGGGGGGGCTTAAGTTCCAACTTCTTTCAGTACCAAATTTTATTCATACCTACTACAAAACACTTATTTGACTATTCTACAACAAAAGGGGGGGGGGAGCAACAGGCCTTTCAATTAACATTTCAAATAGTAAAAAAAGTCTGGAAAAAAGTGGGGGGTCAACCCCCCCCCCCCCACTGTTGCTACGTGACTGTATTGCACAGACCAGCAATAAATAAGATTCATGTAATCCATTCATATGTGTTCCTGTATCAGTTTTTGAACCAGTAAACTGACCAATATGGATATCAGATCTAGAAATTAATCACTCGCAAAAATAACATTTCAATTAGTGCCTTAAGAATCTCACTTACTGATCTAATGACCAAACAACATGCATGTAACAGGCGTGCTTAATTCAATTAAATGAGGCAAATCCTTAAACTTAACTCCTAAGATATCATTTTGTCTCCAGAAGTACATGCATGTAGATTTAAACTTGAGAGCTTAATTATTCCCTTTTTAAACTAATTACAGTTCTGAGCATGAATTACATGTATAATGTTTAGACTGTGTAAGTGAATTTCTTTCTTGTTTTGTCAATTAGTCAATCTATTTATAAAGCCCCGTTCACATGCACCCATTTCCTTTCAAGTGTAAACTTCACACATATGCAAATTTTACTCATGGTACGGTATGTAATTGTAATTTTTGCGATGTGTTCACATGTGCCAGTAAACTGTGTGTATTAAAGGTGCTTAGACACAGATGTGAACTTAATATTTTCTCAAATTTTCTGTATAATATCACGAATTATATATTGCAATAGAATTTCACAAAATACAATTAAAAACTTATTTTATCTGGAAATTATTGGAACTACGAATTCCGGGACGCTTTTGATTAACACATCTCTGCACTTACACGAATTTTAACTTTATCCTTAATATTTAAAAGAAGAAGCGATTTTTTTTTATGTATTAATGAAAAATATTACATCTATAATCAAGAAAATTCAGAGTAGAAATGTTCGAAAGCAAAACCAACTCACCAGTATTGTCAGTCCGTGCTCTGTGATGTGTACAGAGTTTAACAAATTGAACACGCCCGAAAAACGTAAACTGTTTTTGCAAACAGGGCAAGAGCTCTGTTATTGTTAATGTTTACGATTCACCAGGTGTGTTCAATTGTTAAACTCTGCACACACCACTGAGCACGGACTTACAATACTGTGAGCGGGTTTTGCTTTCGAACATTTCTACTCTGAATTTTCTGGGTAATAGTTTTAATATTTTTCATTAATACACAACAAAATTGCCACTTTTCTTAAGTATTAAGAATAAAATTAAAATATATGAAAGCGCAAGGATGTGTCAATCCAACGCGTCCAGAAATTCGAAGTTTTAATAACTTCGAGATGAAATAAGATTTTTATTATATTTTAGTATGAAATGCTATAGCAACATATAAGTCATGAAATTATACAGAAAATTTGAGAAAATATTAACTTCAAATCTGTGTCCAAGCATTTCCAAGCACTCTAGAAAAAAAGTTGGATGACTTGTTTTATATTTTCTAATTATTTTTTCATCTCTTTGTTCCTGTTATATACCAAGGAGAAAATTTGCTTCTTCAGCAGTCTATGCAGTTCCTCTTCTACTCTCCATTTCTTGTTCAAATCAATGCTACTCAAAACTATATTTGAATTTATCAACACGTCATAATGTCACTCTTTATGATATAATATAAAATGCAATTTTTAAAAATGTGATGTATTGTTTTACAGACAATTTCAATATCTGGTATATTTTGCTACGCATTCATGAAAATACAAAAGGACTAAATTTATTACTCATATGTAAAAGTTAATTTGCAATGCCCTAAATGACTATAAATTTGCACTAGAAGTAGAAACACTCGCGTGCAAATCTTGCTTACCCTCGCCATGCGCTAAAATACAACCGGGAGCAAAATTTGCGTATATGTACAATTTTTTTTCAAACCGTGTGTAAATTGGCGCATGTGAACGGGGCTGTCGACGTCAATCATCACCACATATGTACATTGTATTTTATTTCAAATCAATATTTTATTCGTTAATTTTTGGGTCTAATTCCAGCAATGGCATTATTTCCGGATTTCAGTAGCCTAAAATCGGAACACTTCTAGTATACCGGTCCCTATAAATATGGCGCTAAAATAGGTGCCGCCGAAGGCGGTGTACAATATAATACGATCGCGTGAGCGATCGACAAAATCGATAAAAAAGGCCACAAATCGCAAAATTGAGCCAAAAATCGTGTTCCTTGTGAAAAATTGGGTTTAAAAAACTGGTTTTTAAACACAGTTTTTTAAATGAGAATTAAAAGGTTTTGTAAAATAACGTACTTGTTTAGTAGATAAAACTCCATTTTGCGTTGTTTAGGAATGTGGTCACATGATCAGCTTTTGACGTAATCTCATAAATATTCATGACGTGCGTCACTTGTGTTTTGACGTAATGAAGACTTATGAAGAAGTAGTTGATAGGACTCAAAGTGAAATGCTACTAAAATTGCAAGATTTTTGTGAGAAATGCAGGGATTTAACAAGTGATAACTAATTACTAGTAATTGGTTGATTGAATTGTGCATCACCATTGATTTGAAAGAAAAAATATTCTGAATATGGACATTAGGAGGTTAGGATATCGAGCTAAGTAAACGGTAAGTCGCTTTTACCAATTACTTGCCAAAACTTAGCGCACCATATCGGGCACGTTTCAACATTAGACCAAGGCTAATTCATCCAAGTTTCGCAAAACTTTCCTGTTCTTCCGGTTCTTTGTAAGCAAAAATTGTATGAATAACTTCAATAAGCCCAAAGTGATATAGATGCGAGCATGGGTGAATGTAAAACAGTTACAATATCCGAGCTATTTATATTCTAACCCTAATCCGTAGGTCGCATACAGTGCCATATTTAATTAACGGTTTGTTTAAGTTTTGCATGTTTCATGCTTTACTCCTATAAAATGGTATATCGGCACGGTTCGACATTAGGCTGATTCATGCAAGTTTTTGGTCACAAAAGGCACTTGGCAGTGCCTTTTGTAAGCAAAAATTACATGAATTAGCCCGAAGTCAGGAAGATTTAAGAGTGGATTTATAAAACAGTTCCAATCTTAAAACAATATACCCTAACCCTAATCACTCGATCGAATGCGTTTTGTTGAAGCGAGGGGAAAATGGCGGTTTGTTTACATTCTGCATAGCAACGGCAAGGGAAATAACTGCTCATGCGCAATCGCGTGATTCTGGGGACCGGCATACTAGAAACTTCCCGGCTTTTTTAAAGTAATGTAGTCCTTTAACTTTTAACTAATTTCACACTGACGTTCTTGACTTACGGTCGTATCAATAAAAAAATGTATGCTTGGGACTGTAAAAAGAGAAATATATTGTGTATGACGTCATAAAAACACACATATACACCACAAGAACGTAACAATCAATGTGACGTAACAATTATCACTACAACAAAAGTGGATGCGGATGTCGGACATATTGGCGGTAAAATTCACGACTGAATTGAAATTTTTTGTTTTTGTTGATAGGAGGTAAAATATGCTCATAAATATGCCTTTTTGTTTGTAGAAAATCATGGATGTTGAGTTGGATTTCGGGAATGAGGCAGTTAAAGATGTGGTAAGTAGTTCGACATAAGTTACACATCTTGCACATCAATTATGAAAGTATTTTTTGCGACGAAATAACTGCATGGTAACTACCTTTTACAACAAGTACAGATAAAATTGTTCGTTAACAAAAATCATGATTGTCATCATTCCATTGAAGTAAGAAAACTCAAAGGTATTAATTAATGTTGGTTGCAATCACCACAGTACAAAATATATGTAAATCTTATTTGCATTGTTTACACTGAAGAAATATGACAAACATTCATACAAATCTCAAATACTATGTGGTTTTTTGAATAAGTATGTAATGTTTAAGTGTTTTTAAATTAGCCTGAAATAAAGAAAATTCTCAAAATTACATCGGTGTTGTGTTTTCAGGATACCAAATTACACATTTTGAAATTCGGCTATAGCTGGGTGGAGGAAGTTGAGAAGGAAGAAAGACTTATGAAGGTACATGTATTCAGCGTATCTAGACTTATGAAGGTACATATATTCACATCGTCGGTAACCCACGGGTGATTCACATCGATTCGTGGACTCAAAACCGTGGTTTGCGACGATGATGTATTCAGCGTATCTAGACTTATGAAGGTACATGTATTCAGCATATCTAGAAATGTCTTGTCACTCTTGTGTACACAGTAACACAGTACAGTTCTAACAAGACTTAGTTCACAATTTGATTTCCTTAAAATTTATGGCACTATAGTATTTTTCATTACACATTTAAGCATATAAGCTATTTTGTGAATGAAATAAATGAAGTAAAACGTCCTTTTGAATCTGTTTTCTAGGAAGTCAAAGAACCAGTTTTAGAACAAAAAGATAAACAGAAGAATAAATGCCAAATAAAACCGTTCACAAAAGAGACAAAGGAAATTACCAGGTAAAACTAGAAGTCTGTCAGTCTGTAGGATTATAATAATACTAAATTCTATATGTTATATTAATACTGTATATTTTATATAAATTTTGCGTAAAATTGGCATCATACAGTAAATTCAAAATTTACGATACGACATTTTCATAACAAGTATTGACTCTTGCAGAGAGCCACTCCTGGATTTCGGCGATGGACCGGTGGTAGATTTGGTAAATAAACAATTTGCTTTGTTTTGTTATTGTTGCATTTTTTAATTCACATGGTTTTGTGAAAGATACTTAAAAAGTTTTCCCATTAATTACATGTATATGTAACCATGCTTTTTCATGATTATATTGAGTAATTATGTATGGATAAAATGGATATGATTTTCAAATACAACCCCATCGAGAAGTTTTATTAAATATTATTTCACCAAATTTAACTTTGGATGTTTTTATTTAAGGACGCAAAATTAGAAATACTAAAGTTTCCGTACAGTTGGGCGGAGAAAGTTGAAGAGGAAGAGAGAGGAACAAAGGTAAAAAAAAAAGCCTCTTTTTCTCATAGTTACATTCGTAGACAAATTCACGTCTGTGTATTAAAGGAAGTCTTATAATTAATTTGTAAATGGAGCACAAAACAAATAAAGTTATGTTTAGGTACATATCTATTGAGGAGAATGAATTAATGATGAGGTTTCCTAATGATTTATAGAATACGTATGAAGGAGTATAAATGATAATTAAATACTTGAGTAATATTAATGATATTGTTAAATTTTGTTTGAATTTTAAATATCATCGCGGATTTACGGTCACTTCATAGCAAAAAAGGTCCATTTGAAATGAAGTATTTCTTAATCTGTTTTTGTAGGAAGTCAATGAACCAGCCTTAAAACAAGAGAGCGAACCCAGCGTTAAGATTTTCAGAGAAGAGAGAAACGAAATTCCCAGGTAATACCATAACTCTGTCGCACTGTAATAGTATTGATTTATAAAATTCGAATCTCACGATAATACTCGATTGTTTCTCCGCATATTTAGTTTGCTATATTTGTAAATTTAACGTACACTAAACAGCAAATGTATCTAGTAAAATCGCAGTTACAATGACAATTTGATAGTATGCTCATTTTTTTTTTTATAACAGAGAGCCACTCTCGGATTTCGGCGATCGACCGGTTACTAATTTGGTAAGTAAACCTGATATATTTTGTTGTTGCTGTTTATTTAATTAATATGAATTAGTGTAAGATACTGAAAAAGCGTCATTTATAGAATTTAGTATATAGAATGTAGTTATGGTGATATGGGTCAACCGTGCTTTTTCATGATTGGAAGTTTCTAACTTTATGATGTACTGAACTAAAGTGATGCTAATTGTTTTGTAGAATTATTTTCAATTTAACGTTGGGTGTTATAATTTTTAGGAAGAAAAATTAGAAATACTCAAGTTTCCCTACAACTGGGCAGAGAAAGTGGAAGAAGAAGAGAGAGAAACAAAGGTATGGATTTATTTTTCATATTTAAATTAAACTGATGTCACTTGTTTTTAAAATCAACAATCAATAAATCAAATGTCAATACTTTTAAAAAAAAAATATTAGTGTTTCTACTTTGTCAATTAAAATTGTTCAATTTTCTTAATATCACTTACATGCTTTACGGATTTGAAACTTAGCAGTTAGACCACTCTAATAGTCTAACAGGATAAAAGAATGATAAAAATACTTAAAAAAGAAATTTTTACTTCATATAAATAAAAAAATAATTAAAATACTGATTCTTTAAAACACCCAATCATTTATTTTTTTTAGCTCTTATGCAACGAAGAAGATGAAAATGAAAATGACAACTACTTTGTTCCAAGAAGACTTTTTCTTTTTGGAGTCGAAGAGTTCAAGGTACTTTTATTGTAAAAGATACATTTGAAATAATTTAAAACCGCATCACTTGTGTGTTCAAAAGGGTGAATTAATTTTTATACCTTCCTTAATCAGTCAACATCATACACGCTTAACATTTTTTGTCAACCATAATATCCAGATGTCTAAAAATCGCAATATCCTTCATAATTTAATGATGGGGCCCGACTCCTTGTCCATGATGGTTACAAAGTCCCCATTTTCTGGCCAACAGGTGTAAAATCAGACTATAATCTTTTATTTCAAAATATTTTGAATCTCTGCAAATGAAAACTCTTGGATTCTTAAAGTAACAATTTTCCTCACCAAACAGTTATTGGAAGAATTTTTAGTGCATGCATGCAATTTAATTGTAAATATAATTGTCCATCTGGCTATAAGATTGTTTTTTTTTTTTATAGAGCGATTTGAAGCAGTCAATCAAAAACACCAAACAACCCGATGTTCCTGAGAAATCAACTGATATGGTCTGCTCTAAATATGATTCTGTAGCAAAAGTGGTAAGTTAATGAAATAATAGCATCCAAAACATACTATGACAAAATAATTGCGTACAAAATTGTAAGTGTGAGAAATTCATGCATTTCTCATATTTTCTTTTCAGGCAACTATCAGAAAGAGAAATAGTATCGGCAGAAAAATCAAGACATTCCTTGGACTCAGATAAAAGGAAAAATAGCAATGCAGTGTATATTTCTGAAATAAACATGGACGAAAGTACTTCAAGACTTTTTTTGGTTAAACTTCATCATCAAATAAAAAAAATACCCATCTATTTATTTCTGTGTTTCTGTTTTCTTTTATGTTTTCTTTCATTTACAATAAATAAGGCCATTATTAGACTAAACATTTTATATTATGTATAATCATTTGAAAATTAATGAATATTTTTTCAAATTAGGTCAAGTTTTGGACATAAAAAGTACACCAATTTTTCTTTAATAATCCGACATGTACAATAAAGAAGAAAACGGATTTATCTTAAGACTTTGCTTTTCAACATTCGTTCAACGTAAGAATTTGTATTCCCTGTTTTTTTGTCTGAAACTTGCCAGTATTTCATATTTTCTAAGTACCATGTGGAATGTGGAACAAGATTACAACACCGTGACATAGATCATGTTATTTTAGTTTATTTGTTAGGTATAATATTCACTATTCCTGGCTTGTCAATAACATACGGGTAACATGTAATTAGATGATCTGTTTGATACTTTGATCAATGTACATGTAGACATCCCAAGATGATGAGGTTACACGGTTATACAAGAATACACACACTGATATGAATACTTACTTGAAATATACCATTCACCATGTCAATGAAAATATCTACAATGTATAGTTTGTTGAGAAGTACAAGAGACTAAATACTCAACGGAATCTATTAACTGTTAATTTCACTCCCAACTTAATATTCAGAGATTTCGAACAACAACTTTGTACAATTCAAGAACCCTGTCCTACTTTTCATTCCTTAGTCTCGTCATTTTCAAACGCTGGATTACTGAACTGAACATTCGGTTTCTGAGGTTCAACTTTAGCTGTTCCATTTTCCACCACTTCCTGAACTTTAGCTGTTCCATTTTCCACCACTTCTTGAACTTTAGCTGTTCCATTTTCCACCACTCCTTTATCCGATGTCTGCCCATTCTGTCCTGTTCCTTGATCTATATCCACTGTGTGTTGTTCTGGTCTCCCGTTTGGTATGATTTCTGTATTTGGTTTGACAAAGGTAGTTTGAAGTGGAGTGTATTTTTCCATAGGAGGTTGAGACTGATCGGAGAGACTACTTTTAATGTAACCATTTGTTCCATTTATCTTTTGGCTTCTAGCTTTGTTTTCTTCACTGTACCTTCCCACCTGATTTTCTGGCAAAGCTGGTCCCCAATTCTTTTCAGGAGAGGTTATTTTGACCAGCAACTAAAAAAATGTTTAAGGACGCATTTGATTACTGCAACTCCACAAATTGCATGTTTCAGACATGATTTTTTAAATTCATGAAAAGTCTTTTTTTGTGATCTTTTAAATTCGATAGTAATTTCGACTGCAAATATTCTAAAGGAATTATCGCGATACAAAATTATCATTCGCATGTCTCATCGCAAGGACAGTTTTAGTGCAAACTCTTTTTTTTTTTAAACTTACATCATATACCAAACTCCCCATTGATTTCTTTTATTTCATAGAAATTGGTGAAAATTCGTATATAAAGAATGAGATTATTAAATTATACCCTTCCAAGTCCATTTCTGAAGGCCTCGAAGAAGAATATGACTGGAATCCATATTAGTGGCGCCAGTACCATAAGCCAGCCCAGTGCCTGACCAAAGTCCGGATAAACGTAACTTCCGTCTGTGGCTGGTTTGGTCTGAACAGCTTTGAAAATTATCACAGCCTGTTCGAAAATTAAATTTTTGACTTAACTTTTCATTGATTTTTTTTTATAACGAATATAAAAGACATATCAACAAGAAAAAAAGGCCAAATAGACAAAATGGAAAAAAGATATCAAAATCTTACAGGAATACAATACATGAATAGATTCATCTAAGCATGTGTATCAAATTCGCAATGTCATCTACAGTAAAACATGAAAATGTTCAGAGTGAGCACGCTTAAAACGAATACCAGCTGGTTATAACAAAATTAAGCAAAATTAATTTAAACAAACTTAATTTAATGGACGATTGGCTCTTCATCTGCTTACATTTAATGGATGTATATTTATCAATGCAGTTTCAATGCAAAATGTTCATCTCTGAGTATATACACATATTATGGAAAACTTACTAGTAGTGCCAAGGGTGAAATCAACAGCCACATGGTCGCAAAGTAGCCGAAAAATATGTTGATAACAATGTTAGAACCCAGCATCATCTCAATATCTCTCTTGAAGCGGAAAAACCCTGAAAATTGTTAATTCTGAATCTTGAATTCTTTCTTACATACGATGTACGTATGTATGTCTGATAAAAAACATCCAATATCGATGCCAATTGAATGCTAAGTTTCAATTTAATTTCTCAAGGTTAAAAACTGCCGAATGGAGGAAAAAAATATGGAAATAGGATCCAGATTATACACACCGTAGATATAAATTATGGCGATGATTTCAAATAATCCGACAAACAAAAGCGGGAAACCTCCAACAAACGTGTCCATTAGGTTGAGAGTATATTCTCCACCCTGCAAAAAAGAGTACATTTTTTTCTGCCATTTTTTTTCAAAAGTGCAACGAAGGAAATTAATTACTCCTCGACTGAAATCTTGAGAGAAAGTCACCATTTTTCTTAAATTTCAGTGGGCAAATATAAAATCCATAATTATGAAATATTGCCCCTGGTATGAAAATTATTTAAGCCTGTGAACAAGTGAATTGGGTTGGTGATCATTTTCTATATATTTTTACTGGGTATTACTTTCCTTCATCCTTCACAACGCAGGGGTTTTAACCACGAGTGGACTCAGGACCCCTGACGTTGTCCCGCTACTGAACTGTTCAGTAAAATCTTGATTACTTTTATTTTTAACACAGAATCACTGTTTATTCAAATTAAATATATACCAAATAACAATCATTTCATTCTGGTACATTCCTATAGACTGGAACTAATAGAACATGACTACATGTAGCTTACTCTGCAAGTCATGGGTAAACCAAGGAGAAATGCGGTACCACAAATTCCGGCGCGGAATAAAATCAGCCTTTTTTTGTTTGTGAAGAAATGGGGAAACTCATCCACTATTCCGGTAATTACCGTCTCCGTGATCGAAAACTAAAATGATAAAAAGAGAACTTTTTTATTTCACAATTAATTAGGTTGATCTCATTTAATCCGTGCATTGCGTTTTAAGGAAAAATGTCCATTCTTGTCAAAAAGCAATATACATGTTAATTTGCTTGCTATCAGATAGTAATGGGTAAATGAACTAAGAAAAAAAGTTTAAGCACCTGTGAACTGAACCCAAGTGTAGCCATCATGAAGAAAAATAGAATAGCCCACAATGGAGCCACCTGCATCTGCGCAAGGGCTTCTGGATAAACCACAAACGTAAGTCCAGGTCCTACAAATAAAATAAAAGCAATAATTTCCTTAAATTTTGCAAATTGTGTTACTCGGACATTTAAAGTTATTCATAGTCTGCGCACGTGAACGATTAAAAGTTTTCTTCTCATGCATCCATGACGCATCAAAAAGCATAACTTACTGCTCTCATACTAGAAAATATTTTTTTCCAAGAATATTACATCTGTATTTGGTACCTCCTTTAACTACATTGTCCATTGTGACTCCTTTATAATCAGCCATGAATCCAAGTACTGAGAAGATCACAAATCCGGCATAGAAGCTAGTCAGGCAATTAATAAAGGGGACAACCAGCGAATCCCTAAAAATAATTATTACAGTAAAAGAATAATGATACTACTACAGTGACTAATACAATTTCATTTACTATACAAAATAATGAGGGGCCGCAACAGACCTTAGAACATTATTATTGAATTTGTTATAGCTCGCCATTGCAATCAGACCACCAGAACACGCACTGAGGGAATAGAAGATCTGCACTGCAGCATCAGACCATACCTAAAACCCAAACAATGGTAATAACAGTTTTTTTCATAACGACAATTTTATGTAATTGTAAGAATTTGAATGTCTTAATTTCTTACGCTGGCTTGCAGGAGTTTGTTCCAGTCTGGTGTAAGGTAGTACATAACACCTTCATGGGATCCGCTTAGTGTGAGTCCGCGAACCAGCAATACTGTCAACAAGATGTATGGGAATATGGCAGTGAAGTACACAACCTATACATCGAAAATGTAACAAAGTAACTCTTCAAGGCCTAAAGAATAAAGATTTTTTTTTTATATCTTTGTGGTATTAAATTCTCTTTATATTGAAAAATAAATCGAGTGTATTGTGTACCTTTCCGAGGGATTTGATCCCTTTGGATAAAACCAAAAATACAATCAACCACGCCAGCAAGTTACACAAAGTCACATCCCATTTCACTCCTCCGGGATCCGTCCAAGAATCTGTAATACCTAATACCTTTTGCCTGTTTATAAACACAAGACACGAGGATTAAAAACCTTTATATTAAACGAATATCATTTGAAATATTTAGAAGTGCTAAGAAAAGTAAATTAAGTCTTACGTAAAATATTCGTCACTTGGGGTCCTCTTGGTAGCGTTTACAATATCTGGAAGTTGGGACACTGTAACAGAGAATAATCAAAGGCTAAGAAAACTTCTACAATGTAATCAATACAAAACTGAAGTTGGAAATTTAATGATCATAATTTAGTTACAGCATTCGGGTCTTTTTCCGTTCCAAGGATCAGGACTGGAGAAATTTCTTGTTTTATCGATACACTTGCACGTGTTCCATTCGTTTTCGCAATCCTGCCAAGGCAAATATGACGTCATCGATGCGAACAGGTAATACAAGCACCAAGCAATTACGACATTGTAATAAAGGGCGATTAATGCTGATATTATTGTCATGGCAAATCCCAATCCTGAAAAATTAAAAAAAATATTATATCACCAGTAAGGAAAATAATTCCTTAATATAAATGAATAAGTGATCATCTTACTTTCTTGGGAATTTTGAAAATATAGTAAGTTTTCATGCATATACACGTCTTTTTTTGTCATTTACACTATTTCACTAAAAGATGAATTATCAATTGCTTATAAATACACTATAGTTAATATTCCAGACCTTGCTAAGGTTATTACCTTTGAAAGCCGGATTCACAACCCATATTCTTATGGGGCCCAGACTAGCAAACTGACCAAAGGACAATTCAAGAAAAAAGAGTGGAATTCCAATCAGGACCAGGGAAACAAAGTATGGAATGAGGAAAGCACCTGTCAGAATGTATAAATAAAAGAATTCTTTTTTTTTCAAGTATAAAGTTTTCTTTCTTTCTTTCTTAAACCAGAAAGATAAGTTACATCATTTATTCCTTCATGTTTTTATTTCACGCAATAGATAATGATGACGAAATTCACAAGAATTGGGTACATGAATAACTAATAAAAAGATGTTCACTTTGAGTAACGGAGCGAACTTCGAAGGCTGTTTATAACTGTTGATGAAGAAAATTTTATATTAGATAGAATTCAAAATTTCTCATTGTTGCCAAAAAAGGTGTCTTTAGTAAATGACTAAATGTTCATGTCTGGAACACTTGCTTCACTCACCTCCTCCATTTTTGTATGCAAGGTATGGAAATCTCCAGACGTTCCCTAACCCTACAGCATACCCAATTAGGGTCAAAACAAACTCGATCTGATTAGACCAAGCAGCCCTCTTAGCCTGAGGAAAAATAAAATGAAAAGTACTAAGTCTTTAGGACATTCAGGGCGCAGACTGCTCTGTAAAATTAAGACCGGTACCTGTATTGCAAACAGGTTATCTAAACTTTCAAATGGACTTATCTGAATCTTGATGACGTCGCCATCACTATAACTTTCTTTTTCTTGTAAATGGCACTAAATTTTGTTTTTAAAATATTCAATTTACACTCTAAATTACATTATTTGCAGGAAGAGGACGAGATAAATGAAGTTTAAAGTTTTATCAGGTTCCAGATCAAGGCATAACATTTTCTCCAGTGTATTTTCCTTTAAACAGATCATGACTCCTGCTGATATTTTTTTTCTTTTATACATTTCAATATTAATAATTCATCATTAAAAAATATCTTACACATGGCAAACGTTGTTATATGTAGGTGAAATGTCAAACAAGAATAGGCTAGCTGCACTTTATACATAAAGTACACTAAAAAAAAGTCTTCCAGAATAGACATTGTAATAAAAAATAATAACTTTTTCTTTGAGCTTATCTGTTTTAAAATGTGTTTAAACACTACCCAATGCTTAACCAACTCGTCTGTGTTTAATAATATTATCATATTTAGGATGATCCTTAGCAATAAACGTATTGTCAATATACTTTTATTCACAAATTGACATATTACCCTGTGAGTGGGCACTGTCAATACAAAACAAATATTACGTAACATAATGTGCATAATATTTTGAGCCACAAATATTTTATCTCTTCCACAGGTGTATCAATAATATCAAATTTAGAACAAGCTGTTTTACCACCTGTACCCATTTGGCGTACATAAAGAGACTTCAGATCTGGTGTGTTGATTCATAAATCTGATTTGTTTAACATGTTAACCAAATTACAAAGGTTCTTAGGATTGTCTACGAAGTATACGTAAGAACTGAGAAATATAGACAGTGACATTTTTATGACAATCTAAACAAATACTCCAAAAATAAAAATTTTCAAGTTCATTTGCTAAATAACTAAGAACGTTTTGAAGAAGTTCTATATAAAATGTATATGCAATATGTTACCCATAGAATCATTGATGAAATTTAATTCGCTAGGTACATGCGTATATGAATGTAATTTGACTTCACTAAATTTTTACAGCAGAGCAGCACTGACAAAAACAAAATATCATTGCTCTCAAGTTGATATCAACAGTATTTTTGTTCATTATTTCATAGTCACGTGGTGGCTTGATAGATATAACAACTGATAACCGATATCTTAAAAATAGCAACGTCTGTACGGCACCTCCATGTCCGTAAAAGTTGGGGATAACAAGAGGCCTTTGGGCCTCAATGCTCACCTAAGTCATATATGTCTGTCTAATGTAAAGTTGTGGCCTTGAGCTTAAAACCCACGATGTCGGAAAATTTTAATTTACAGTATGCTGCAAATTATTCTTCAAGGGTTATGTATCTTGTTGTGTAATGTGGCTACCCCTACTGTGGTCCCAACCTTACCTCCAAAAACAATTTAAAACGTTACCAATGTATTCCTTTTCGAAACTTTGACCCAATAGTTAGGCGCCACCCAGGCCCGTGTTAGTTATGATTTGAACAAATTTGATTATATTATATCTAAGACAGTTCAGAAGACGGTATTTATGGATAAGACCACCTCTAATTTATTATTTCCTGATTAGTGGGACACAGTCCTTCATTAAGGGATAAAATAATTCCCTAGCTCCAACTGAAGATGCTTTAGGTTAAAAGTTGAATTGGCCGAGTTGTTCTAGAGAACACGACAAAGTGTGAAAAGTTTATGTACTTCACATCACAGACAGACACCGAAATCAACTGCAACCAAGTTAACGAACTGCAGTTTTAATTCAGTAATGATCTGTTTTCTAAACGAAAAAATGTTGAATGGCAATTTAATAATGCTAGAACGGAATGCAGGTCAGCATACAGATTTCGTACCAGAGACATGTAAACCATGTCTCTTTTGTTTGATTTTCAACTCCTTCGCAGTCGCGGAATGCCGGAGATTAAATTGAATTGCCTTAAAAATACCACCTACTTACGTCATGCCTCGAAGTTGTTTTCTGTTTCTGTGCCCACCAAATTATGTCAATATATCTTTATCCTTTTGTGTTATAAAAAATACATAGTAAATATTCAATGTTATAAAGTTGGATATGGAATTTATTTCAGGATTAGAATAAGATTTCTTTTAATATTCACGAGTTTAAATATTAAAAAAAATCTTGCAATATCTTGCAAAATTTGCCGATGAGAAAAAAAATGAAACGCAGCAACTGCATCTTAAGTTATCAGTTCATTCTTGTCTTAAAATGCAAAACTCTTCTCTTAAAATTTCATAAATATTTTGAAATCTGTTTTTAAAATTTAAAGTTACTAAAAGGAATAGACATGTATAGGTGTATATATTGTCACAAAATCTTAGTTATTGTCACAAAATCTTATTTGGTCAGAATATATTGATAGTGTTGTAAACAGTGCTTATAAAAAACTAGGCCTCTTAAAGAAATTGAAGTTCAAAATGGGTAGAAAAAAATTATCAAAATTGTATATTACGTTTATCAGACCTATGCTTGAATATGCTTCAGTTGTTTGGGATGGCTGCTCTAAACAAAATTCTGAAAAGCTTGAAAAAGTACAATTAACCGCCGCTAGAATTGTAACAGACTTCCTATTTTTGTGTCTAGAGAAACACTTTATTCTGAAACTGGTTTCGAAACTTTAAAAACCAGGCGATATATTGCAAAAATGACAACTATGTTCAAAATTCACACGGGAAGAGTACCTGAGTATTTGCATGATATTGTCCCCAATAAGCGTGAGCATGTATCCCTATACAATACCCGTAATAAACAAGATTATATTGTTCCAAGGTGTAGATTAGAATTATTTAGAAACTCTTTCGTACCTGATGCTGCAAAACAATCGAATTTACTAAAAACAGAGGTTAGAGAAGCCATCTCAATCAAAACATTCCGAAAAAACTTGATAACAAAAATTGAAAATCCACCATCATACTTCTCTTTTGGTAAGCGATACACCAATATCATTCATACTAAGCTAAGACATTACTGTATACTAAATTATGGTCTTTATAAACGAAACATTATAAATAGTCCCTTATGTTCATGTGGAAAAAATGAAGATGTGTACCATTTCTTTTTTGCATGCAAAAATTATTCCAATGCAAGAAGTACTCCTTTTAATCGCTTGTTCACTCTTGAATTGGTTACTATTGATATAAATCTATTATTATGTGGTGATGTTAATTTGCCTTTACAGATAAATAACAGTATTTTTGCTGCTGTTCATAAATTTATTGACGAAACATGTAGATTCTCTAGTTGATATGCTATTTAATTGCTTTTCCACTTGTATTAATTGTATTATTTTTCTTCTATTTTGCATGACAAATCGTTATATATAAGGAGAGGAACTTTGTAAGTTGTAAAGAACTTGTTTCCAATCCATTTGATGTACTCAATAAAATATGTTCAAAACAAAAACAAAACACATGTATAGGTGAATGACAGAATGGCGAATTTAAAAAAGGGGGGATAAAATTTCTTTCCAATTTCATACAGTGTCAATTTATCTTACTGTGGTAGATAAAATTAGTTCTAAAAGATAATCAGTAAATAATGAATAATATGTGCAAGTTTTTAACTCTTTTTTGACAATATTAAATAATGTGTCAGATATTTTTTTTGGTTTCTAAGATTTTTTTATTTTCCGGTTGGTATAGGAATAAATTGACTAATTGCCTTGTTTATTAAAATCACCTCGAAGAGGAAGCAAAAAATAACCACACGTATTGAGGTCATACATGTATGTAGATAAAGTTTTTGAAAACAGGGTACCGTATTTGCGTCTTACCTCAGTCTTGTAATTAATTGAAAGGAAAGGTACAGAATAGTTCGGTTGCTGTCCAGATAATTTTCACCTTAAGTGAAAAGTTTGAACCCGGAAGAAATAATTTCGTGTTGGGTACATGTACTTCATATGATCAACAACAAAAAGACAATGAATACTATAGAATAAGATACTCCATGTAAAAAAAAGTTATCGGTATTTCGAACGCCGATATCGCGAATACCGTGGATATATGTTGAAGTGAATTGGAAGTCCCAACCACTTTTTCTTTATGTATTTTACCCTCAATATCTCGAACCTTCGGATATCTTGAAGATTTTTCTCAGGCTCATCGAGTTCGAGATAACAAGGTTTGGGTGTAGATATATATACGTAGTTGTCCAAGACGAACAGGTGCACTGATCTTCAGAACTTAAAAAAAATGTTGTCAGTCTGTCTGATATTGGTAAATTTAGTTGAATAGTTAAGATTAACAGACATTTTATTTGAAACAATGACGAGACAACAACATTCTCGACGGCTGCTTGTTAGCTCTCCTGCTCGAGGATGGGATGGTAAAATGTGCGTCTGTCAGTCTGTCTGTAAACAAAGAGCTTTTCTTTGAAAATTAAATCTGATGTTTTATTCGTTTATTCATGGCATATGTACATTTATTTATGTGAGGGTGTGCATACTCTAAAAAACAGCGGAATGAAAACGATTACTTACACTCTAAAATATATTGATAACAAAACAGATGACAATTAAACTACAGAGAAATCATGAATTCAATCATTACATTTTAGATTTGATTCAAAACAAAGAAATCAACTTACCTCTGGCATCGTCGTCTCTAAAATTCAATGCATACATGCACTAAGAAAAGAGTTTCACTGAAACCTTTTTTCGAAAGAATTTTCACCCAAAAAGGGTGGAAAGTAGATAACAATTTATTCTCTGATTGGCTGATTTTGAACTCAATGATTTCTCCTAGGGGTAGGTGCTTTTGGTTTGTTATCTCCTTAAAGGCCGTTAACTTTATCCAGTCCTGGTGCATGTTCCTATTTACAATTTGCTATATACATGTAGTCCTCACCAGGAAAGAATGTCAACAGTTGATAAATGATAATTAAACTATATTTATCTACAAGAAAAGTACATATACTGTATGACGGGTAACAATTGCTTGCACGTATGGTTTTTGGTGTCATTCAGAATTCTTTTTGAGGAAGATTTTTTTAAATCAAGGTTAAGTATGGTAAAAAGGATTCGAATCCCCTTCAAGTTGTTTAACTGTGTTATTGAAAAATTACCTAAATTTGGCGAAAATCGCACAGATCGGGAAAATCGCAGGCTCGAGATATTTTATAGAGCCCGGCGGAGAAATAACTGACATATAACACTGTATGCACTATATTTTAATGAGATGTAAAAAAAAATTATATTTCGCATATCCCATCTTTGTCTAATTCAGAGGGGCAATATGCGCGCGGGGAAGGGGGGGGGGCGTTGAGGGGTCCCTCCTAGCGAAGCTGGTATGTGTATATGTTACATTATATTGAACATCGTGGCAATTCACTTTAAAGGATACCAGTCCTTCCCTGCCACACTTCTTTTAAAGATTTCATTCTATTGTGACCTTATTTTTAATGCAACCCCAGTTTTAGTTTAAAAAAAAAAATTCTTGTTTTATATTCATTTATTAATTTATTAGTTACAGTAAGGTGATGAATTTAAGGGGACAAACCCCCATTTTTTCCCCTTAAATGCAGTAGATGAATTTATACATTATTTCGTTTGTGTAAAATTTTCTTGTCAGGTAATTAAGTTATGATAAATGACAGATATATCTAATTTTGTATGATAAAAACAAGTTGTTAATCATGTTGGTATATAGTTTCACTAAAAGTCAAGCTGCAATGAGATAAAAGCAGAAGGGGTTACTGTCCAACCCCCCGGGCCTTCCCCACTACATGTATTATAATAGAACAGTGCCTCTGTGGCCGTTGCAAAACTAATCCACCTTGGTGAAAAACCGTATTTCTTTTAACTATACAATCATACATTTATTTTAGCACTGTTTGCAAACATACACAGAGGGGTCATGCAACTTTTGGAGGGAAATCATGAGACACGGTCAGCCGACATGCGGATAGATCCTCATTTTAGATCAGAGTTTTATATAGAGTCATGACATTATTTGTTTTTCTAATTTATATAAAAAGATATGGTAATCTGAGAGATAAAATCAATTCAAATAAAAGGAATGTGTGTACATGGTCTATAGTTAAACGTTGACGAAGTACATTCTATGTATGTATTGTGTCTTTTCAAGTCGAATTGTTTCTAGCGCGAATTCTCTTATACCGATGAACCGGAAATTTTGATGTGATGCGAAATTCGAAAGATGTTTATGTTAGTTGCAATATCGGCGACGTTGATTTCAGGTGGTTTTATGAAAATGAACGGCATTTAAGATAATCAAGTCAATATTTAATACTGAACAATATTTCAGCAACACAAAACAAACACCTATCGTGAATGTAAAGGTGGATGGAACATTAACAAAACGAGTTTGGACATGTCCGTCAACTGTTTATGTTCATTCATTTGGTATGTTTTTCCTGCTAAATGTTATCTTTGAGAAAATATATATGCTTGTTAAGAATATCGTGAATTCTGTGATGTTTTAGATTCAATAGAATACATATCGTTGACGAAAAATTTCAAATCATGTTTAATTCAGTAATCAGGTCTAGCACAATCTCTTGATTAAGCTATACAGCTAACTGCTTGAAATAGCTATATAGCTTTATTAAGCTATTCAAAATAGCTTGATAAAGCTATTTCTATGCAGGTTTTCACAAAATGTTATTTGTACAAAATAGACAAAAAGTCGCAAGCATTTGACTATTCATATATATAATATAGGTTATCAAATCAACAACCAAAATCAAAGATAGTTCTAACATTGCAGCATTTGAATACTTTTAAGCAAAAGATGAATTTCCATTGTTTGGGTAACTGTACACTACCTTGTGTGCGTTGAGGCATGGATAAGTATGATTGCTTCTCATTGTACTGAACTATTACCAATCAATTATCTTGTTGACCGTAATTGGCCTCCTTTATAATTATTGAAGAAGTAACTGTATCAACTGCTTTATATAGCCCCAATACTTTTAGAACTTTGAGTACAAAGTCTCTTAAGGAGACACAATTTGATGAGTGATTTTTACATGCATTATTTTCATAAGAGTTCAAGGTTGAATATCATCACTGCACCAAGGTGCGACTTTTTGTGCATACTTGGAAAATAACACATTTGAGAAAAAAGTGTGATAAAATAGCTAAATCCAGCTATTCTGAATAGCTTAATAAAGCTATATAGCTAAATCAAGCTATATAGCTTAATCAAGAGATTGTGCCGGACCTGGTTTTTGTGCAGCACAATTTCTTAATTTATTATTTAGTAATTTATTTAGCTGTAAAGCTTGAATTAGCTATATAGCTTTATGAAATTATTCAAAAATAGCTAAATAAAGATAAAACTTTTTCAATGCAGTTTTTCTCTATTTTTTAAAATAAGAAATCGACAAAAAAATGCTAGTATTTGTGTACTATAACTATTAAAAACAGTCCAAATCAAACATTGTTTTAAACATTGCTGCTTTTAAACACTTTGAAGGAAAAGATTTTTTGGTAACTATAGTAACTTGTGTGCAATGAGGTATGGCTAAGTAGCATTACTTCACATTGTGCTAAATCAATTATCTTGTTGATCACAAATGATCTTAATATTTTCATCCAAGAAGTACATGTAACTTTTGTGATCACAAATCAATTTATCTAAATGGCCCCAAAACTTTTAGTTCTTTTAGTACAAAGTCTCTAAAGGAGAGGTAAATAATTTGATAAGTAATTTTTTGATGCATTGTTTTCAGAAGAGTTCAGTTTTGAAATTTTCACTGTGCCTATGTGTAACTTTTTAATTTGCTGAAAAAAATTCACATTTAAAAAAGTATGATAAAATACCTAAATCAAGCTATTTTGAATAGCTATCTCAAGCTGTGTAGCTAATTCAAGCTATTTTAACTAATTCAAGCTATTTTAATATTTCAAGCTATATTGCTACATCAAGAGGTTGTGTCAGACCTGATAGTGATTAGGCCTGTAACCAAATTCAGTATAAACATGCATGTATTGGACATTTAATCATTCAAATAAAAAAAATATCTGATGATATTATTTGATATTGTTTTAAAATCTTATTTATCTAGAAAATGGAGAAGAAGCAACAGAGGGTAACAGTGAAGAGAACAACAGTTTCTGGACAGGGGAAAGTTAATGAAAAAGGAGGAAAAGTACTTGTTCATTTTATATTGATAAATTTTGAAAAGATGACACTACCAACATGACCAAAGTGGTCATTTTTTATTTATGGAAAATTCTGTGAAATGAATAAGTTCTAAATATCTGGTTGAGATTTTAATCTAACAAAGACAAAATGTTTTAATTCTTTAAATTTAAGTATATCTTTGAAATACTAGATTAGTTATTGCACAGATATCTATTTATTTTTACAAATAAGTTGAAATTATTGTCTAGAGAGAGAGAGAGAGAGAAATACTATTCTTTAGATGAAAAAGCATTGATTATTCATAGCGATTGTATTTTTCACTATATCTATAGTAACAGAAAATAAAATATTAGGTACTTGATGCAATTTCATATATCGTCACCTGATCTATCAAAAATTTATTAAAAATTACAATGTAATTATTGCATATAGTATAAACCTTTTAAATTACAGTGTAATTATTACATATGTATGTTAACCTTTTAGTTTCAATTTATATATTTTCATATGGACTTATTTGAAGTAATGATTATTTCAACATCTGATTTGTAGGTTGGAAAAGCAAAAACTGTTGGTGTGAAGTCAAAAATTAAGGCAGTGCCTGCAAAAAAGTATTCATTTTGTTCTTAGTAATTTTTATGTTTCAAAGGAATATTATCAAAGAAAGCTCTTTATTATGATGCATGTTTTGATATACATGCTTGTATAAATTTCAGTAACTTCTTAGTTCAAAATCTGTTTTTCCTTTTACATATATAGTTCTAACTTCGTAAATTGTCAGAACATGTTTTATTAAGTTATCCACAATGGAAGTTGTCATTATAACAAAGTTTACATGATGTATGAAAAAAAAAATTTACAACAATATTATTATTAAAATTGTGATTTTAGAAAGTTTACATGTAACACAAATACATTGTGTTTTAAAAAATAATATTTTTGATGGTATTCATTTTTTTGCAATAGGCAAGCAACCAGAGTACCAAAGAAAACCAAGCCAGCTCCACATGTAGAGCCAGGCTATACCCTTTACTCCAGTTTGTCTGAGGAATCCTCAACCCAGGAGACATGTGTCAGGCTTTTTAATCAGCTGAAGGAGAAAACAGGTATCAGGAGTTATCTTTCTTTTAACAATAGTCTTTGAAGTTCTTGCAGCATAATTACACGTGCAGTCAAACTTGGGTATCACAAACATCAATTTCTCAAAAACCATGGATATGTCAAAGTGATTTGGAGACCCCAAGGATTTTTCTTTAAATATTTTGCCATCAATATCTGGAATTCCCACATACCTCAAATTTTAATCTCTGAGTTTCAATGAGTTTGAGATAATGAGGTTTGACTGTACTTACAAATACTTATGGATTGCAAGTCCCAACACAAAATTGTAACCAGTTTTAGTCTAAAGCTGCAAAAAAAATTTTTTGTTTCAAGTTTGAATTGAGTTTCCATTAAAGATAATTATCAGGTTTCCTTTTTGTAGAGGAAGTGGGCCCCCAGACACAGTTTAATACACGATTATCCTCCTCCACACCAGACCCGGACCGGCTGTATGTTGACTTGGACCAACAGCTAATTCCAGAGAGGGATACCACTTCTCCATTGTGGAAGACTGTACTGGCATCTCAACAAGTATCAGCAACTAGGGGTAAATTATCTTTCTTGTTTTTAGTTCAGGGCTCTTATATCACTTTTTGGTACAGGGGCTTGGGCTGTTAAAATTTGGAAAGTTGGTGTCATGATGTGGAAAATTGAAGAAATCAACATGTAAAATTTCTTTTTTCTGATGTTTTCATATCAACTTTATCAATACTGATGAAAAATTATAAAAATAACAACATTCAACTGGTAAAAGTACCTATTTTGCATTCAAATCAGGGCCAATATTTACATGATTTATTGAAGTAGGTAAAATATTTTAATGTATTGTCATATTTATCATGTTAGGTAGCTAGTGCTGCTCTAAAGCAAGTAAAATAATTTGAAGGAACTTTGGGTTCACACTGATTGTACTAGGCTAGAGTTCTTTCAAATACATGTAACAATTTCATTTCAGAGTCTTGTATCACAAATCAGGGGCATACTTTAAACCAATGGAGGACAGAGGGTACTGCTTACTTTGTTCCTTTGAAGACACCTGCATCTCTAGCTAGTGATAAACCACTAACATATTATACCCCACATAATCAGGATGTACCAGTCCTACAAACTAACAGTGAGGGGTTTGTGCCAATCACTACTGGAATTGACAGTGATTTGGAAAGTCTTCAACAGTTTCCAATCAAAGAAACCCTGCCAAGTGGTCAAACATTCAATGTTGGGAGTACTGCAAGTGGTCAAACATTCAATGCTAGGAATTCTGACAGTCATTCAGATAATTTGACAACTCCAGAAACCAGTAGATCTGGGTATGTCAGCTTGCCAAAGCCAGCAGGTGGTGGTGTGATTCCCATGCAACAATCTGCTGTTCCACTTTACACGCAGCAAAATGGCCTCTATCAATTGAGGCCCCAGGCCCCTCAACAACCACAAGTAAGACCTCCATTCTCAAAAGATTCAACACTTCAGTCCAGTGAAATCCCAGATGCTCCTCTAAGAGGAAGGTTATTTGAGCATTATGCCAGTGGGCAAATGTCATACCCTTCTCCAGTACCAGAGGACCAGAAACAGTATCACTTCGAGGGCAGTTATTTACTCACACAGGCAGTTATACCAGAAAGAGACACTCCTCCATTCACTGTTCCTGGCCTAAATTTATCCGGAGGACAGACTGAAAAGGATGTGAATCTTCATGATACTTTGTCTACCATAACTGGGTCAGTAAACCAGTCAGTAGATACTCCACGGACATTAACAAGCTCAGGTTCACCGAAGAGTAACCAACAAGTTACACCCAAAAATTCCTCCAGCTCATCCAGCTCAAAGAGTGTTCATTTTCAAATTCCAGACAATTTTGTGAAGAATTTATCAAAAAGCAGTAAAACTAGTCACCAAACACAAACAGATGATGGCAGCTTATCTCAGCAAGCAGGAGCAGGCAACCAATTTATTTCTGTAGGGGTACCAGCTACCTCTTATTTTTCTGTTGATTCATCTGTGCAAACCCAGCAACAAGTAGAACAGTTATCATCTGATCATGGTATGAAACAATTTTACATACACATACATAATGATTTTGATAAAAAAGAAATATAATTGATGTTTTCTTATGTATACAACTAGTCATATTGAACCTGTAGTTGTGAGCAGTGTTCCCCAGAAACACTTGCTGTGTCTAATATTTTTGAATTCAACATCATGTTATTTAAAAAAGGTTCTATATCTATTAACATTGACAGATTTGTAGGGAGTTTTTTTAAGGTGATTTTTCTGTTTACAAATGTAAAATTTACTTACCCCCCGTAGGTTTGTGTAAATCTAAAATTTTATAGTTAATATAGCTGCCAAGATCCAACAGGTAAAAAGGGGTTAACTATTAAATTTGTTCTTTGGGTGAATATACTTATGAAAATTCATACAGACCATTTAATACATACATGTACATGTATACAACATTCCAACAGAATTGGTAAAAATTTAAATTTCTTACAGATTCTTCACAGTTAGTGACCTCTTCTGTAAAGAGTGATGTCCCAAATCCGTGGAGTGGTGTGAAGGCTAAAGCAGGCATGAAGAAACTAAGATACTGTCTAAAGGAGCTCAAGGAATGTGGCAAAATCAACAGTAAGACTTCACTATCAGTCCTGTTTATACAATTACATGTACATACCTTCAAGGTACAGCACAAAAAAAGAATAAAGATGAGTGATAAATGCACTACTTTCTCAGTAGATTTCTCCATCTTTATTAAGAGAAATTGCAAATTAAAGCCCACATAATGGTTTCTTAATATGTATACTCCATTACAGTGGACCTTCAGATATCCAGACGCCAGATATCTGGATGCTTCCAGACCATTTTTCCTGGGAACTGAATGTTTTAACATTATTTTGTCTCATTTATCCAGAATTCCATGTTCAGTGCCGACAGTCTTTTTTCACCATAAAATGCATTTTTACATTATATTTTGGTTCATTTATCCGGATGGTAATTTTATAATTGGTCTTTCAACTCTGCTCACATCTCTTCAGCTGGGTGTTAATTTTTGTAAAAACAGCTCAGTGACCGGGCTGTTTGTTTTTAAAAGACGATCACCTGTGACCTAGTAGCTGTTGTCAATGACTTGCTACAAGGTTATTTAGCCTATAGGTTGATAGGTATGCACCAGACTCGTGTTCTGGATACTCATTGGTTTGGGAAAATAATTTTACATCCATGTATCAGTAACTTATTTATAATCAGCAAACTAACTTATCGGCAAATATAATCTATCATTAGGTAAAATGCTGACTGATGTTTTTCATGCTAATTGTTAGGCCATTATTTACACACTGAAATTTCTACGGATTTTTCCATTTACCTGATCATGACAAGGAGCACACGGTGTGACCGGTCGACAGGGGATGCTTACTCCTCCATGGCACCTAATGTAAATCGTACCAATTTTGATGCACCAGATGGGCATTTCAACAAATTATGTCTCTTCAGAGATGCTCATGCTGAAACGTTGCAAATTTGAAATATTTGAATAACAAAATCTTTGAAGAGTTTAAAAAAGGGGTGCCAAAGACTGGAGCCAAATATGTTGAAGGATCAGAGCTATGCATGAAGGAGATAATCCTTAATTTTGAAATAAATTTCTGAATTTTATCACAGCAATTAAATAGATATCTGTATTTTCAAGCTAGTACCAAAGTACCTAGCTACTGGGCTGTAGAGACCCTCGGGGATGAACAGTCCACCAGCAGAGGCCTCGACCCAGGGTTCATAATGAAAATCTTATACGGTACCAATTTTGATGCACCAGATGCCCATTTCAGCAAATGATGTCTCTTCAGTGATGCTCATGCCGAAACGTTGGAAATCTGAAATTATATTTAATAGAAACTTTGAAGAGCTGAAAAAAGGGTACCAAAGACTTGAGCCAAATACGTTGAAGGATCAGAGCTATGCATGATGGAGATAATCCTTAATATTGAAATAAATTTCTAAATTTTACCACAGCCTCTGATGTTTTTGGAGGTCAGTGTTTGCTTGGCTCCCAATTTGTATTGTTTAAATGGACTATGAGCTTGAATACTGTTTGTTATCTTCATATTTCATGTTTCACCTATCTGGGAATCAAAGGGTCTGGATAAATGAGGCTTGACTGTACATGTATCTCAGAATGTGTTTAATTGACTTGTTAGAGCACTACTTCTCTATATCTGCTGGTTAATGTTATTCTGTATCCTACAATCTGTGTGTAGATTTTGCAAATTTAGTGTAAAGATGCCTGCTGTGTTTAGATGTACTTCAACTACTTATCTCATGAAATTGTACAAGGTTTCACTGTATGTTCAAATAAGTGGTATTTTTTCAGAAGACAAAGAAATCAAGAGGCTCGTTAAAGAAGTTGAGGATACACTAGAAACAATTCCTCAGCTGAAGAGTACATTCAGTCTACAGGCAGAAATAGACCTGGCTATACAACCTCTACGCAGTGAAAATGCACAGCTCAGAAGGTTTGTAACACAGTCAAACCTCGTTATCTTGAACTCAATGGACTGAGCAAAAACTTTGAGATATCCTAGGATTCAGGACATCGAGGGTAAAATACATAAAGAAAAGGTAGTTTGGACTTGACATACCCATGGTTATTGAGATATCAAAGTTCAATGTATTGAAGTTCAACTGTATACCAGTATACTTAATGAGAATTTCTTAGTTTCTGCCCTGTACAATATTGGCTAAATCACACAACTGAGCCTGCAGAACAAAAGTGTATATCATGTATTGAACTAACTTCCAAATTTTATTTCAGCAGTGAGAATTTGAATACCTCATCTTCAAAATGTTTCTTGTAAACTGTTTACAGTAAATGCACTTACAATTTTGCTTCATTGTAAATGTAATTTGTTATATCCATTAAGTTCATACTACAGTATCATATTTTAAAGCCAAGGGGAATGAAAATCACTTCACTGTAAGCGTCAATTCATTATAAGTGTGTTCATTATAAGTGTGATTTACTGTACATGTATTTTATGTCATTAATCTCTTCTAGAAATGATATCAAATTTTCATGGTATTATGAATGGTTGCAGGTTAACATGGTGATAATGAATATCTTTCAGGCGACTTCGTTTACTGAGCAAGCAAACAAAAGGAGGAGTTACTCAGCTAACAGATCATAAGATGGAAGCAAAGAAGATGGAAGGTGTGTACATGTATGAATACCCCCGCCAAGAAAGAAAAATTAATGTAATTAACACAAATACGAGTATGCAAAATATTCTGTGTATGAACATGTACTTTTAGTTTTTATCATAACATTATGGATGTAAAAAAAAAAATGGGTAAAAAAAATATACTGTATCTCTATATGTGAAATACACTTTTCTATTAAAATATCATTTTGAATGAAAATGTGATAAATCATAATGTCAACAGTTATTTTTAGATATACTTGAACAACTCTATCTTTCACAATGAACGTTGAATACATGTGAAAAGGTTATTGACCAATATTTTAAATGAAACTTTGAAAGAATTGGAGTGTGGTACAATTTTTAGTAGGTTTTTGACCTATGTTTCAAATCAAACTTTAAATAATTGAAGTGTGGTGGTATAAATTTGAAAAAGTTTAGGACCAATGTTTTAAATCAATGCTAAAACAATAGTCATAAGTGGGAGTTGGTGTAAATTAGTAAAGGTGTTTGACCAATGTTTCAAATCAGACTTAAAATAATTTATTCAGACAGAATAGTGATATTTGATCTGAAATAAATGATTAATTTATTTCTGATAGTTATGTTTGTATTCATGTTTTTTTTTTAGACTCTCTGTTACAAAGCAAATTAACAGCTTTACAGAAGGAACTTGTGGCAGAAAAAGAAATGAAAGTGAAACTAGCAACAGAAATGAAAGAAATGCACACACAAATGCAGAAAATGAAAGTTGAAAGAAGTAGATTCATTGCTTCAATCAGTGAAAAGGTTTGTCATGTATATGACCTGATAATATTGTACATTTTTTAGAGCAAGTTAAGGTGGATGTTCATTTGAGTAGACTTGGAGGATTTTTTCTCTTTCCTATGTAAATAAATAAAGTTGTTTAACATGTATTGGCAATTTTAGGTAATTTTTTTTTTGTTCAGTCAATTTTAGCTCACCAGAACCAAAGGTTCAAGTGAGCTTTTCTGATCACATGGCATCCATAATCTATATGCCTGTTAACTATTCACATTTTCGACTTTTTTTTCAAGAACCACTGGGCCAATTTCAACCAAACTTGTCACATAGCATTCTTGATAATGCAGTTTGGGTGAAGGAGAGTCAAGTTTCTTCAGATCAAGGGCCACACCCTCTTTCAAGGGGAGATAATTAAGAATTAGTGAAAATTTAATGGCAACTTTCAAAAATCCTCTTCTCAGAAATTATTAGGCCAGAAAAGGTGAAACTTATGCAAAAGGTTTTATTACAAAGAATAGATTCAGATTTGTTCAAATCATGACCCCCAGGGGAAGGGTGGGGCCACAATAGGCAATCAAAATGTTACACAGGAATATGTAGGAAAATATCTTCAACAAAAGCACTACAAAGTTGAGCATCTCCTCACAAAAGAGCTCATTTCTAAGAGGCCTCTTTCTTACAACACACTCATCACTCACATCAAAACAAAAGCAAATGGCTGTTTGTAAAAGGTAGTATCACAAAGATTCTTATTGACCTCCACTGATTCCTGATTATTATTCAACATCAATAAAACTGTATAATCAAAAGATTATTGTTATTATCGCAATCACAAAACATGTTTTATTTCTTGGTAAGAATACAATTTGATTTAAAAAAATGAAAGCAAAAACCATATTCAATAGGTTCATTTTGTTCTCACAGCCTGAGTTGGCCTAAGAAATGTTTGGGCAGCTGGACCGTGTCAGAACATGGGCCAGAGTACTGAGAATAATCCTCAAAACATAAATGCCAATGCATGTTTGCTAATTGTCAAAAAGTATATCATGTTAACGTTACGTGGTTTATTTAATTTCTTTATATTTAATTAAACATGTCACATAATCTCTAAAACTTTGAAAGAGCTAGGTTCACTTTATGCATAAAATGGTCCTGTACATATACCAATTTATTGACTAACACCTTATGTTTCATTTTAAACATCAAGATAAAGTAGAGACTTAGTGCTTTCATTTCCTATGAAATTTTTTCTCCTTAAGTCAGGTCTTGGAAAACAAGCTTTATGGAATTGCAATGTTCTTGAATTTTAAGGAAAACAGTTATATTTAAGTACTTTCAGAGAAGAAAAATAATATGAGCGCACCCTCTGATCTAAAAAATAAAACATGTTTTGCAATCCTCAGAAAAAGTTCTATTAGTAAATAATTGCATATTTTAGATCAGAGATTGTGCTCTATATTAATTATCGAAAAATAGTTTTGAAAATTGGCTGTTTTTGTAGAATTGTTCAGGATATGAGGAAAATGACGCATTTCATGACGTCATAATGCATTGACTAGCCAGAAAATTACATCAATTTTGGTAGATTCACAATTGCCAAATGTCTAAATGAAATTTTATGCATTGTCAACTAAAATTAAGCAGTTTCAGTTTTTCAGAAACTCACAAGGCCAAAAAAGGCCCTAAGTGAACCTTGTTCTTTATGATATATTTACAGCTGATACTTCTATCAACTGATTGAGCACTTTATTAAATTACATCAATACCTTTATTCATGCACTCTTCCACACTCTCACAAGTGCGTTACTATCACTCCTCCAACTTTGTTACGAAGGGATAAAAAAATTTCTTTTTAAGATCATCAAAGCCATGATTAGTCATATTTATATTGAAGCATCCTCAGGCAATGTAGATTCAAGTTTGTTGAAATCATGATCCTGTCATGAAGAAAGGGGCCACGATGGAAGAACAAAGTTTGACATAGGAATATTTAGGGAAAAGTCTTTTTAAAAAATCTTCTCAAGAACATTGAAGCTATGCTTAACCATATTTATACGGAAGCATCCTCAGATAGTGTATATTCAAGTGTATTCAAATTACTGTAAACCAACTTTTATTCGCGTGCGAGAAATTTTCGCGAGGTTCGCGAGAGCCTCGTCATTACAAATATTTCTCACCGTGAACCGGTCCTTAAAGTCTGTCTTTCCTTTAACAACAGATCAAAAAAAGGCTTGATCGCGAAAATTAATCTTCGCGAACAAGTTTATCCCCGGTAAATCGCTAAATAAAGTCGTCGCGAATAAAAGTTGGTTTACAGTATGTCCCCCGGGGTTAGGGTGGGGCCACAATGGGCAATCAAAGTTTAACATAAAAATATTTAGGGGAGAAATCTGCTGATGAAGAACAGCAGAATAATAGTGGCTCAGGTGAGTGTTGTAGCCCATGGGCCTCTTGTTGGTTGTAAAGCTTTTACTCAATCTTTAAAAATCAAGATTCTGATTTCAGGAGACAGATGAGCTGAAGATCAGACAGGAATGTCTCAGTGAAGCTCACCAGTTCAGGAGTGATTTAGACAGACTTCACCGACAGATTAAGGGAGCCCGCATACAGTATGAGGCCCTAGAGAGGGAAAATCACATTCTGCAAGTCACACTACAGCAAAGGGATAATGAGATGAAACAGCAGAAAGACATGATGGAGTAAGTGTTAATCAGTTTGAATGGACAAATACCAAGCAAATTCAAAGAATTGTGGTCCCCTGCTTTCCCTGTCTTAGTGGTTGGGTTTCAGTTGTTTATGGCATATTGTAACTGTCTTGTCTGTATGTCCTTCAAACTTCTAGATCAATGTCATGAAGTCAAAAATGATTTACCTTTCTGAATGATGTTGTCATAGGTAATGTACATATGAACTATGAAAGCCATATGTTCTCTCATTCAAAAGTTTTTACAAATGTTTAAAAAAATATATGAAAAAAAACTGAAGGTTAAACTTAGAGGTCAAAGTCATGAGGTCAAAAACCAGAGTACATTCTGAAAGGTCTTGAAACAGGTAATGCACATGTCAAATATAAATGCCCTATCATCTCTCATTCAAAAGTTATCAGCAATGTTATAATTATGAAAATTAGGTCAAACTTCAAGGTCAAGGTCATGGGGTTAAAAATCATAGTACATTTGAAAAGGTCTTGTCACAGGTAATGCACATGTGAAATATAAATGCCCTATCTTCTCTCCTACAAAAGTAGGAGAGGTGACTGAACAGAAAAAGATTTGGAGCAAGTCTTCCTAAGTAACTTAAGGTATTCCTTCCCTCAGATTCAATGAATTTGAATATAACCGATGTGTACGGGTGGAATACTCAGTATTTTTAGACATAATTCCCATTTATTAATATTAGCATGTAAGAATGGAACGTGTCCTAATTTATGACCTTGACCTTTGTTGAAGAGTTATCTCCCTCTTTTTTTAAGTAATAAAAATCAATTATAAAAAATCTATACGGTAAAAAAATTGTTTTTAATTGTCATTCTATTTCTAATGATTTAATGTGTCTTTCCACTACAGTATTTTTTGATATTCTTATTATTTGAATTTTTATTTTAAAAAAAATCGTTTGTCTCCATAGACGTCAATGCAATTTCTGTTAATTAATTACTGCTTAGTCAATTACATTTTTGAAACTTTTTCTTGGTAAATCCTTTTATACTGTAAATAGCTTTGAATTAATATTAGAGTATTATATACGTGGTGGATATTTATGGATAGAGAATTAAGTCCTATTAGGGATGGAAAACCTTAACATCCCACCCAGACCAAACTCGCATAAAGTTTAGGGATGTGCACTATACCAGAACATTTGTTTGGTTTGATACTTTACCTTATAAATAACATTCATTGAGGTGAGCTTTGTAATCTTTGATTACCTATGTTTTATAATAAGTCCATAATTTATCAAACATACATGTCAAATCTATTTTTTCATTAATTTTCTGAAATACTATGTATATTCTGCATCCAGTTCTATTACTGCAAATAAATTAGAATTAAGTATAGATAAATAAATAAACAAATGTACAAAATAAATAAATTAGTTTTAAAAATGAAGAAAGTAAATAAATCAGTCAGTGGTAGGAGAGCACATTCCAGTGCATGTGACTACTAAGTTATTAATTAACAGATTTAAAATATATCAAATAATTGTTAATAGATAAAGATGGAAAATATAAGTTTTTCACATCTTTTTCTGTGAGAATGCTAGTAATAGATTGGTATTTCACTCATCATGCATTTAGTGGTCTCTTTCTATCGGGCTGACTGGTCACACTTTGCTCCATTTTATTTCTGCAATCACTTCCCTAATCATTCTATCGCAGGATTAACTTCAGAAATCAATTATTTCAGAGCCCTCAAATCTGCAGTTGGACAGGTTTTAGAAGAACTTGAGAGCAGTAGGACAGGAGGAGAGACCTCATTTATATCCAACAACAGCTTCAGTTTGCAGAGGCTTCTCCATATACTGGGAGGAAAACAGACAGCTGGGTAGGAATTAAAAAAAAAAACCACTAACCAGCTGTACAGCTTATGTTGCAATAATTGAAAACAGACCAATGGCAGGGCCTTCAGGAACAAACAACAAAATGATTTTTTCTAAAAAAAATTTATCACCATTCTTTTGAAAAAGTAGCAACTTGAATAATTTTATGTAAAAGTTTTAATTGTTTGTTCAAAATTTTCAGGATAAGGAATGGTCACACACATAGTTCAGTAATATTTATCTAAAATTTCTTAAGCAGTGAAAACAAAGATAACATTTTATGAGTATCGGTGTTCTGATATTTGCAAATTGCCCAGAATGGTATTTTAATGAAACTGACTTCTTTTGTATTTCTGTGTATAAAGAATTTAGCATCGTTGACATTCTCCGGTAGAATTGTACAGATTAGCCATGCCTCCACCTAAAATTTACCACCCTCAAAAAAACCCTCAGTCTGTATTTGGTTTTTCCTGGTGAGGTGGTAATTGATGGTGCATGTTTGTCTGGAATAGAACTTAGATGTCATTTGATAGGGCAGGGTTTATTATTTCAAAGGAAGTTGACATCAGAGTAAATATTTATGATCTTCAAATCAATATTAAGATTTTGAGTTTGTAATGTTACTTAAGGATCCAATATATATCCTGAGGAAAAATGTCTTTTGGACATTGAAAAAAAACCCACATTGCATAAAGTGCAATATTGAGTTTCTCTATTTCATTTTCAACATAAGGTACAAATCATTTACCCCAAGGAAAAATGTTCAAAGACAACAAAGAATTCATGAATAGAAATTGCTTTGATTAGGTATAAAATGTGGAAAATACATCCAAACAAAGTGTTCAAATAAAATAAGATGTTAAGAATACTTGAATTTATTACAAATTGAGTAAAACATCTAAGGGCAGATAACTGTAACTGCATAAAAATAACACAGAGATAAAACTCTGTATTTAATGTGCAGTGTTTAGAGGGTCCTTGAAAAGTATTAATAATTGCATCTCAAAATAAAACAAAATATAAGCATGATGTTCAAAATAAAAAGATTCACATTCAAACATATTAAGTATGAGGTTACATGAGCAAAAGGCTAAGTGAGCTTTTCTGGCCAATACATATTTTACAAAAGTCATTGTGTCAAGCAGTGTACAGTAAGACATACTTATAGTGATCATGCTTATAATGAATTTACAGGAAAGTGATTTTTATTCCCTGAGGCTTTACAATATATTGTAAACTTAACAGATATAACAATTTACTTTTATATTCCATCCCTGACACTTCGTTATAAGTGTGTTTAATTGTATGTGCAAAATATCAAATCCATACTTTTTACAGTTCTTAAGATATAAGGTGTGACAGACAAAAAGAAAGCTAGACAGATAGACAGAAACTGAGTAAAGTGATCCTTAAGGGTCACTCTGCCCTGCAGGTGATACAAAAAGTGTTTGAGACTTGTAACTCACTTAGACTTATCCATGGTTTTCGAGATGTTAATGTTTGAGGTAACAAAGTTCAACTGAATTTATTAAAAGACTGAAAAAAACCATATGTCTACTATGATCTTGTAATATAAATTATAAGTAAAACTTGTATCAGATTTTTTTTATTTTTTATTTTTTAGAATGGAGCGCAGTGTGCTTTCAGATCCTGGAGTTCACTCTACTTCCAATGTTTATAAACCACATTTAAGAACCTCTACGCTCACAGCTGAGTCACTGGCAACACACAACAGATTACAGCAACCCTCTAGGACCATCACCAAAAAATATGAAAAGGACAGGGAACCAGGTTACAGTATGGTTGATGGGGCACCAGTTGATTATAAAAGCAGTATGTCAGATACTGAAGTGGAGTATCAGACTTTTGATTCTCATAAGCACACAAGACGAAAATCTCCATCACAGAGGCAAAGAAGTCTATCAGGAGATGGACGGCTTATAGAAAAGGTTGGCCCTCGAATGACAAAATACTCTGACTTTCATGAAAGAGATGGAAGTTATTTGACAGGAATACAAAAGAAACATAACAGAAGTGATAATGTATTTATGGCAAAAAGTCAGAAACTCCGATTTGAAGAGGACGAGACATTCCCTAAAAGTAGTTATCATGGTAGAAAGTACAATTTCAATGAAGAAACAAGGTCAGACTTGGATACACAATCAAAGTTCAGTGTTGCTGAATCCAGATACAGTGTTACTGACTACTTCAAAAAGTATCCTTCTTCCAGTGCAAAGCTTCAGAACCACTCAAGAAATACATTAAGACACCTTGACACTTTTGATACAAGTGAAATGTCAAAGCCTAGTAATCTCTCTACAGACAAACCTCATCATAGATCCTTAAGTCAGCCAGAAAATTCTCTGTTTTCTAGGAGTGATGGTCCACATTTCTCTTCTCCTCAAAAACCAACCTCACAGCAAACGTCCTTGACACAGCATTCAATTACCCAGAAGTCTCTGCTTTCACCCCAAGATCAGTTATATAGGGGAACAGCTCTAGACAATTCCATTAGTGCTATTGATGATGATAACTTTTCTAGTGTTTCAGGGAGGTCTCCATCATCAACTTCTATTGATGAGAGGGCATTCAAGAAGGGTATTGCTAGCTTAGATGCTAACATCCTGAAACTGCAACTGACACTGCAAAAAACTAAAAGCATGTTGTCCTGAGGACAATTTAACTCATATACATTAAGTTAATGAACATTGTGCATTACTAAAAATATGTTTCTGTATCAGTATTATAGATTTGTTAATTTATTGTATTATTAATTTTCAGTAATGGAATAATATATTGATTGTCAAGGGCAGCAAGATATTTTCTTCACATTCATACTTGTTTAATACTTCTGATTTATTTATACTGGTAAAGTTCCTATTGTTTAGTGACATTGTCATCACTGGGTTTCTTTTAATGTCTTGTTTTTGTACAATGAAAGAACACAGCACTACAAAGTATGATAATATTTTTTGAACAAGGTTGTTAAATAAAAAAGGATCTTTAGGATTAATAATTCATGACCTACATTACCTTATTGACTTTGGTGTATATTTGTCATTGCATGCCATAAACTTCACGTACATTAAAAAAAGAGTGTGTTGTTTCAATGTGCTAGAAGGCATGTCCTTAAATGCCTTCAGTTTTAAAAAAATATACCGAAGGACTTGTGAATGAGGCCATTGGTACAAGATCCCCCCCCACCCCCCCACCCCCAACCTACAGTTTATTGCTTAAAGAAATCATATTGTTTCAATGTGCTAAAAGGCACGTCTTTATATGCCTTCAACTAAGAAAATGTACATCAGTACAAGATACTCCCCCCAACCACCACCAACCCATGGTATATTGTTTAATGCATTTGGTCTATGTGAATGAGAATTATATTTTTTTTATAAAATAGATTGAATTCCTTGCATCTCACAATTTATGATCCAACTGACTCCAAAACAGGAAAATTGGAACAGTTCAGTTGAATCCATTGAAAAACATCAAAAGTATGCTTTGGAAAAGTTGTGAATAACAGTAAACTGTCACTGTAATGATACTCATTACTACAAAAAAGCCTAAAGAGATATAGTAAATGACTCTCAAGGCCCCAGTAGAAATTATTTGGTTTATCTAGGGACCCACTAGGCCCCAGTAGAAAACTTAAGCTTGTAAAGCCCCCCCCCCCCCATTCTGAAAAGAAAAGCTTTAATTTATGAAGGAACCCATGGTTGTAAGTAGAAAGTTTGTATGGGGTCTCCAAGGGGGTCTCCAAGGCTTTAAGTTTTCTACGTACTCCAAGGTCCCAGTAAAAAGCTTTGGTTTGTCTAGAGACCCTAAGGCCCCAGTAGAAAAGGTATAATTTATATAAGTACCCAAAGGTCTTAATAGAAAAGCTTTAGTTTGTATAAGGACCCTTAGATCCCAGTATAAAACCATTAGCTTGTTTAGGAACGTTCACCCCGAGGTTCTTATAGGAAAGCTTGAGTTTGTCTAGGTACCCCTAGGTCCCAGTAGTAAAGCTTGATATTGTATAGGGACCCCTACGTGTAAGTAGAGAAGCTTGAGTGTCTAGGGACACCTAGATCCCAGTAGAAAAGCTAGAGTTTGTTGGGATCCCAAGTTCTAAGTAAAAAAGCTTGAATGTCAAGGGACTCCTAGGTACGCATAGAAAAGCTTGAATTTGTCTAGGGATCCCAAGGCACCAGAAGAATAACTTTATTATAGTGGTTTGTAAGGGGACTCAAAGGTCCCAGTTGAATAACTAGTTTGTAAGGGTACCCCAAGACCTCAGTAGAATAATTTTAGTTTGTGTGATGGTCCCAAGTCCCCCTGAAGAAAAGCTTTACTTTGTCTTTGGACCTATTAAGACCCCTGTGGAAAGCTTTAGTTTGCGTTTAGACTCCAAGGTCCCAGTGGAAAAGCCTTATTACTGACTATAGGGATAGCGATATAGACACAATCTCTTTATTAACTACCTGCTTCGATTCCCAAGATAATAAATGTACCTTCAAAGTTATAGTTTGTGTAGAGAAACAAAGGCCCCAGTATTAAAAAAAGCTTGAGTTTGTATAGGAACCCTATGGTCCAAATAAAAAAAAAAAACTTAGTTTGTATAGAAACCCCAAGGTTCCAATAGAAACGTTTAAGTTTGTGTAGGAACCCTAAGGTCCCACCAGAAAAAAACTTAAGTTTGTCTAGGTTTCCAAGTTCCAGGTAGAAAAGCTTGAGTTTGTATAGGGATCACGAGATTCCACTAAAAATCTTTAGAACTTCATCTTTTGACTTCAAGCCCTCTTTTAGTTTGAATAAGAGGACCCCAGGACCCCCAGTACAATGGGTTTAGTTTGCACAGGGAGCCCAAAGTCTCAGTAGAATTAGCTATTGTTAAAAAGAGAACTCCAAGGTTCCATTAAAAAGCTTTAGTTTGTCTAGGGACCCCAGGGTCACTAGGAAGAATAGCTTTGGTTTGTTTTTTATTTACTATTTTAGTCTTTAGTCTATTTTGATCTATTAAGGCCCCAGTTAAAAAGCGTTAGTTTGCGTTTGGATCTAAGGTCTCGGTGGAAAAGTCTTATTACTGACTATAGGGATAGCGATACAGACACAACCTCTTAATTAACTACCTGCTCCGATTCTCAAGATTAAATGTACCCTGAAAGTTTTAATTGTAAAGGGAAACAAAGGCCCCAGTTTGCATAGGAACCCTAAGGCCCCATTAAAAACCATTAGTTTGTATTGAAACTCAAAGGTCCTAGTAGAGTATTGAAACCCCAAGGTCCCAATAGAAAAGCTTTTGTTTGTATAGGAGCCCCAAGTTCGAAGTAGAAAATTAAAGCTTGAGTTTGTCTAGGAATCCCAGGGTCTCACTAGAAAAGCTATAGTTCATCTTTTGACTTCAAGCCCCCAATAGAATAGCTAGTTTGTACAGTGACCCAAAGACCCCCCAATACAATAGATTTAGTTCGTAGAGGGAGCCCAAAGCCCAAGTGGAATAACTAGTTTATTAAGGAACTCTAAGGCCCCAGTAGAATATAGCTTAGTTTGTATAGGAACTCCAAGGCCCCAGTAGAATAACTTATTTGTTTAGAGACCCCTGCAGAATAGCTTTGGTTTCTCTAGGGACCCCAAGGTCCCTAGATAGAATAGCTTTAGTTTGACTTTTTATTTATTAAAGTCCCATTGGAAAAGCTTTAGTTTGCGTTTGGACTCCAAGGTCCCAGTGGAAAAGCCTTAGTAGTAAACCAAGGATAGTGATACAGACACAAACTCTTATCTACCTGCTTCTTTTCCCAAGTTGATACATGCACCTTCCAAGTATCATCATCTTCAGAAGAAACACCTATGGACTATTTGCTCACCCAAGTTGGATATTTTCTGGATAAATTACCAGGAAAATACTTTTGAAACAGATTCATTTTAATTTGACTTTAAGTCCTACCTCGGCCAATATGAGCTATATTTTGTTGATTGACTGATGAGGCAGGTGTTTTGTAGCAGGTCCATTCCCAAGTAACTTAAGTCCTGTCTTGACAAGCGTACCAGAATAAGACGCGTCTTGGGATGCATGCAACCAGTCAGATTTCAGATGCTTCATTTGAAATATATTAATAATATTTTTATATTCGAGTGATCAGGTAAATAATTTGAAGAAGCTTCATACTTAATATCTAGAAGTCCACCCTAAACAGTTTTTCGTCTGATGTTGCAACACACACACAAATTAATGCCTTGAATTAGTGCTTCGAATGCCCTCCTTTTTTAAAGAAGTAGAAAGGGCACCAAACTATAAACAAAACTAGGCGTGTGAATAGCTGCAACGTTAATTCCCATACTAACAAAGAAAGAAAGACATTTTATTGTTCATTTGTATCTATACAAATAATTATCTAAATTAGAATTAAGTAGATTAAATACTGTATTATTGATATGTACATCATTGTACGTTTCATTGATGGAAGAGCCATTGCTCAAGAAATCTGTACAGATGATATGCTTAGCGGTGTTTACTGACTGATAAACGACAATAGTTTTCTTAAAAAAAATAATGGAAGACAATATTCAGTGGATGTAAATATTCACATGACAAATGACATTCGGTGAGCACGAGTGTCGCGGAAAACATTTACTACCTCCACATCCATTTTGGTAGATTTTATATAAATTAATTATAATTTGTCGTATAGTAGTGAAATACATGTAATAACTGTCAAAAACTAATTAAAAAAATAATTTTAACCGCATCAGAATACATTTTTGCTGGCAAATGTCTGAAAAACAGGATGGATGAATTAATTAATTAAAAAAAGAAAATACCACGAACGTTCCTATAAGCATGTCATAATTATACTGGTAAGAAAAGATATGTACAAACATCATTTAGGGATGTTGATAAAAAATTGATAATTCATTTTATGAAGGCGTATTCATTAACACTTAGAGTAATATACCGTATGTGACATTTTCCCCGAAATACCCCTATGTTGTCTGACTAGACAAATGCACTGCACATATGAATATTTTGATGGACATAAAAAGAGAAGAAAGTATGGGGACAACAGTAGGTTAGCAAAAACGCAACAGGGCATTGTGTCACAGCAGGCCTTCATGCTAAACCTATGTTGTCTGACTAGACAGATGCACTGCACATATGAATATTTTGATGGACATAAAAAGAGAAGAAAGTATGGGGACAACAGTAGGTTAGCAAAAACGCAACAGGGCATTGTGCCACAGCAGGCCTTTACGCCAACACTCCAAACGCGGTCGCGCTAAAGCAACTTTATAAAACACGCCATTTGAGCTAACACACAATACGCCGTCACGCTGAAGGGACATTACACAACACGGCTTTCCCATCGTTTATGGTTGTATATGATTTTTTTTCCCAACGAGTTGTGTGTTTTTATCCCCGAGCCTTGGCCAGGGAATAAAAACACACAACGAGATGGATAAATCAAACTTAAAATCAAATTTTGAATGTTGAATCAAACTTAAATGTAATAATCGAAATACTAAACTTTATGTAATAAAAATTGTACTCAAAAGTTTTCAATTTACTGGATGGCAGTAAATACAAAATTTACAAAATGACATGAGTAGGGTTATTTTTATTTATGTGGGGGTGGGGGTGGGATTATGGTTCTCTTGTTGCACATCACCAACATTACTTATTTATCATATATCCTTGGATCTTCCAAACAGATGTTCATGATTGCATAAAGGATATCCAATATAGTAGACACATCTCCTGCAAATGCACACAAAGTAGCTCGTTAATTGAAAGATTTGTCTTTTTTGTCAGTGCGAAAAAAAAAAACCCGCACTTCTAGTATACAAAATTGCTTTATACAAAGAGATGATGCCAAAATTCATAATAAGTATATACAAATGGCGCTAGTTAAGATAATGAATATTTAGGATTTTAAAAAAAAAGGTATTGTGAAGATTCTGCTTCATGAAATGCGATAACTAAAAGGGGGATTCCATCTATATATTTTATTTAGAATATCTATATTCTAAAGACGTATTTGTGAAACACTGATGCACACCTATGACAGCTCATGGTGAACCTTAAGGTTTCTCAAATGCAAGTCAACTCCAAGATGAAGGTCAAGATATCAAAATTATTGGTACCCAATGAAAGGTCTTGTCACAAGAAAAACATCTGTGAAATATGAGAGTCCTATAACCAACAGTTCAAAAGTTATGGCCAAGGATAAAGTTTATCAGAAGTGGGTCAAATTCAAAGGTCAGGGTAAAGGGGTAAAAATAAATGGTGCCCATGGAAAGGTCTTGTCACAAAGAATATACCTTGGAAAAATAAAAGCCCTAGCATCAACCATTCAAAAGATATGGCCAAGGTTAATTTTTTTCAAAAGTAGGTCAAACTCCAAGGTCAAGGACGAAAGGTCAAGATTATTGGTACCCAAGGGAAGGTGTTGTCACAAGAAATGCACCTGTGAAATATGAAAGCCCTACCAAAAACGGTTCAAGAGTAATGATCAAGAGTTATGGCCAAGGTTAAGGTTCTTCAAAAGCAGGTCAACTCCAAGATCAAGGTCAAAGGTCAAAAATATTTAAATCCAAGGAAAGGTCTTATCACAATAAATACACGTGTGAAGTATGAAAGTCCTAGCACCGAGAGCTTCAAAAATTTTGTTCAAGGTTAAAATTTGGTAAAATTTTGCAAAAGTGGGTCAAAATCTAAGGTCAAGAGGTCGGATAGGTTGATGCCCAAAGAAAAGTTATGGTCAAGGTTAAAATTTGATAAAAATTTTTGCAAAAGTGGATCAACTTCAAGGTCAAGAGGTCAAATATGTTGATACCTAAAGATAGGTCTTGGCACAAGGAATTCACATGTGAAATATGAAAGCCATAACTGAAACTAATCAAAAGTTATGGGCAAAGTTAACGTTTTCGCAGACAAACAGATTAACAGACAAACAGACAGACGGACGGACAGAGCAAAAACTATATGCCCCCGAATCTTCGATTATTGGAGCATAAAAACTATAAATGCAGTCAATATTATTGGTCAGGACCCCCTCTCTACAGGATTTACAGAGTTACTAAATAATGTTGCTTGTAAAGTAAATATGTAATCTATCCCCATTCCCGTCCAAGAAATTCCTGGATCTGCCTTAGAATCTATTCATTCAGTTAAATTTAAGGGCAAATGAAAAATATTTTACTAGTATGAATGTAGCGATTGCACAACAATGCATCAAACCGGCCGCTGAATGCCATTTTCCAAAATTTCTTTTTGTCCCTGATGCCCAAAAGCAGAGAAGAAGATTTTCAAAGAAATAATGTGTAGATTCTACGTTATATCATCCTAACACCAGAGCCCCTGCCCCAGAGGCCAAGGATTCATAATTTTTAAAGAGGCACCCTAGATCATCATAACTATGCACTTAGTATGTTTGCTTAATACCAATGGACTGAAAAGAAAACTTTCACAGAATAATGAATTTTTGCCATATGTTTAAAGGAGCCCCACCCTAACACAAAAAACTCTGACACTAAGGCTACAAATTTCACAATTTTGAAAGAGGTACCCTTGCTTATCATGACTATGCATTTGGTTTGTTTGCTTAATACCAAGTAGCAAAAACAAGATTCAAAGAAATAATGGACTTTTATAATATCATCAACAGCAGCAACCCCCTTGCAGAACCCCTAACCCTGGGATCACAAATTTCACAATTTTGGAAGAGGCGCTCTTGATCATCATAACGCTACACTTAGTTTATCTGTTTAATACCAAAGGAACATAGAAGATTTGCAAAAAAAAATAATGTATTTTCACTATATAATCCCGCCCTAACATAAGAACCCCCTGACCCAGAAGCCATGGAATAATGTTTGGGAGGAGGCATCCTGGCTTATTATAATATGCACTTGGTTTGATTGCTTAATACCCAGTCGCAGAGAAGAAGAGTTTCTTATAATTTTTGTACTTTCATTCACTATAAAATCAATAGAACCCCGCCCACTTTGGATCATCATAACGATGCACATAGTTTATCTTCTTTATATAGAGGGAAGAGGAGAAGATTTTTAAAGAATTTAAGCATTTTCATTATCTAATTAATAGAGCCTCACCCTAACTCCAGAATCCCTGACGGGCCATGAATTTTGCACTTTTGCTAGAGAACTCAATGTTTATTACAATCATACAAACAGTTTAACTGCTTGGTGTCCATAAAGGAGTAAAGAAGATTGTAAAGATAACTAATTTTTATGGTTTTAGCCCCACCCCTAAGGCCCCAGGGAGCGGGGACCATTCACAATTTTTATTCCTCTTTACTCATACATATCCCAAGCATATGCCAAAGTTGGTTGAAATAAATTCAGAGGTTCTAGAGAAGCTGAAAATATTCAAAATGTTAAAGCACGACGATGGACGAAAACAGATAGCAATAGGTCACCTGAGTAACTCAAGTGACCTAAAATTCCAACCCCTCTGTATATAAAAAACACTTGTGTTTTGGGAGTTGATTTATTTAACTCCTCTAAGCCAGGGGCACTATACTGATCTTAATTACACTTTAAATCCGGAGGGATAATTCACCAATATCCTTGAAAATTACTTGTAATTGAGTCTGATCAATCACAAAGCAAAAGAATTATGCAAAGTTTGGTGATCCTAAGTATTCGCTTTCAATCTTGTCAATTCAATTCCACAAGCTTGTGCACAGACTATACCCTTCGCAGTATGTTGCGCGATGAGATTACAAAAACTATCAAACATGCCTTTGTGAGATTCGAAAATTAAGACTAATTATGATAATTTCTATTGAAGAAGTACAGGAAGTCTGTATCATATTTATGTGACTTAGTTTGAGTAAACTAATTCGAACACAACTGAATTCCAATCAAAAAAATGAATGGCCAAATATGAAGCAATCGAAAACTTGAAGTCACTTCTGAGAGTTTAATTGATTTCTGCGAGTAGTATCTACTAGTATATGATAAATTATGATAAATTAAGTAACAAAGTAATACTGAAGCCTTTTGTCGCTAAAGAAATTAAAACAATACAATATCAGCTTATTGCACATGCGACACATTCATATGAAAACAATTGTTGATATCTACAGGTTCTCACACATTTTGTAATTGTATGAATTAAAAATAAACGTGTAATAAATTCAGCTTTCAATGTAAAGTGTTCTTCCACTTAGAAATATAAAAAGCAGTTCACAATATCACAGAAAAAAATGTGCCGACAGTCATTACTGCCCATTAGTCTATGTAGCCATACTCAGTACATATGGTCCTTGTTGGTTCTTTCAGTCCAGCAGATTTAGAGTCGGACGTGGATGTATCATTAAGCATGCTTAAGCAACAGTCTTCATGAAGCTCCTTCGCATTATTTGCACGATCATTCGTTCATTCTCTGTTGAATATCCATCGTTCCTTGATATGTACCGGGATCAATACATCTTCCCTGGTGAATTCCACAAGTTAATTCCAAACATAAAGCTCTATAATTATTGCTTAAACATACTATTTGGACTGTAGCGTTTTCCAGAGCTCGACAGAAGAATTCCCAGGGCTTGCATGTTTGTGTTTTACTAAACTTTGTTACTGGTATTCTTTATAATTGTGAAACTGTCGTTGCATAGGCCTGATTTCGCAGACCGTTTCTGAACATTTTCATGTACGATTTGTAATTAAATATCAAGAAAATGACTGGATTTGCCGCACTGTTTAACGGTGCCAGACTTTGTATAAATGTAGTGACAGCTTTAAGTCTCTCCTGATCGAAAGGCCCGTAGAGTTGGTACAAGTCGTACACGAAATAGGGTAACCAACAGAAAATAAAAGCTGAAAGAAGAGAGGAGATTCTAAATATCAAACAAAAAGTTTATTCATATGCTTAGTATAAATTGAAAAATCAAAAAAAAAAAACTTCTATAGACCATCAAACTCATTTACAAGCACAAGAACATATTCAAGGAAATAACACATTCAAGAATTAATACATTAATTCAAATCGCAAAATTTCTTTAATATTCGTTAATTTTTTGTAACTTAAAAGCGGCAGGACTTAACTATCTATAAGACAAGTAGAACAACAATCAATCAATGAAGTTTTTGATATTTAATCAATTATATTGTTTGTGGTATTTATCATTTGTCAAAGTTCTTGCATTCGTCAAAAAGTGCAAAAAACCCAGGGAGATCAGATTTGGAGCTTAAAAATTGGTCTAAACGCCACAAAATAGTCCCTTCAAAGCATTCATGTCTTTGTAGCGTTATTTCATCGTTAAAATTGTATGTGATTAGTAAAAATTAAGTAAAATTATGTTTCTTGATTAAATTTGAAGTGTAAATTTTAAGACACTGACTGGAGTGAACCTCAGACTACTAATACATGTATTAGTAGTCTGTACATGTATATAGATTACCGTACCTAGAACTATGACAAAAGTCATTTTTATAGACTTAATCTTTGCTTTTGGTATTAACCCTCCCGAGGCGTTTCCAATTTGGTGGTTTGCTTGACCATTTAAAGATTTGGAAGCTGCTGTTGATGCTTCTTGAAATTTAACCTCTGAAAGGCGAGAAAACAAATACCAAAATATATAAATGGAGCAAAAAACGTGCAAATACAGAGTTTAATTCATTCAAGAATGCTTGAATTGATTACAAATTGAGTAATTAACTGTAGATTTCAATTTTAAATACGACAGAATTTGAACTCTTTAATGCGTGTATAGAGGATCTATAAAATAAAACTGATAGAAACATCGGAATTGAGCTGGATTTATTAAATTTGGTATATATATTGTGATAACCTTTTTTGCTTTTACATGCTTTGGTCGTACAATTTCTCTGTGTGACGTCATTGTAGCGTCTCACCACACTTGCGGTAGAACGCCTCCAGATAATCACCACGATGACTATGTAGCAGACGGTTATCAGAATGGCGGGAATAATAAACACGGCTATGGCTACTAACGTTAAATAGAGCTGTAAAAAAGAAATAAAATGGAAGAATTCAATTAATTTACTCAATTTATATGCAATTTTAAAGCATCAGAACTATTACAATGCAAATAAGGCCTATGTTGTTCCTTTATTTTATTTATTAAGTGCCGATCGATTTGTTTTTCGTTCGCCTTGAACTGGTCAATTTATGATCATTCTTAGCTGAAACGACAATATGTTTCAACCGCAGCCATGTATACCATGAAATCTAATTTGATATCTATTCAGAGGATGATAGATATCAACCATTGATATAATTGTATGTTTTTTTTTCTATATTTTTAAAATAACACATCGGTCCATATTGAGTTCTGATAAGTTGAGGACCACTGCTAACTATTCCTTAACCATTTGAAAACATTTGAGAGAAAGAATGCAATGTCATCACATTGAACTGACATAACATTAAAAAAAATATTTTTATGCTTAGCGACTCACCTTCCAATGCCAAAGTTCTGGGAAATTTATCATGCAGAAGCTCTTTTCGGATTTGTGAAAAACCTTAGTCACAATGTCAAATTTAAACATTGGTGTAGCAAACAGAACGGCACAGGTCCACTGTAATATAATTAACCCCTTCACTCTCTTTTCTACAAATAGGCAGAAAAAAGTCAAAAGAATCATCATCAATACTACATCATAAATTTAAAAATTAACAAAATTCTGGTTTGATGTATGAAGCATATAGAATGAAATGTAGAGGAAAAGTTCCTTTGTGAAATCTTGCATTGACCATCCTATGACGAGTACTCATATAGTTTTTAGGAATAAGTTGTAAAAATTCCTAATTACTATAGTATTAAGTACTGCCCAAATGAAAAACTGCATTAATTCTCAAAACTCATTATTTCGGATATGCATACTGCATATTCATGTTTCTTTTGTTTGGTGAAATATCTGATCACTATTCTCTTTAACATCATTGACTTGAGGAACCTTAGATTGATTGATTGATTGTATGTTGTTTTACGTCCCATTCGAGAATTTTTCACTCATATAGAGACGTCACAATATACCGACGAAGGGCTTCAAATCTAGACCTTTACTCGGCACTCAGGGCCATTGAGCAGTGAGGGATCTTTATCTTGCCAACGCCTGCCGTGACACGGGGCCTCGGATTTTAACAGGGTTGGCAAAAAACTGGGAAATACTCATATTTCCCAGGACGGTGGGAAATACTGGTAATTACCGGGAATTACTGGTATTTCCCAGGAAATACTTGGAAATAAGTAATAGCTATACATATTTCATTCATATTGACATGTAGTACATCTTATTGGCTAAGATATCTATCTGGTAACACTGTCCCTGATTTAAAAAATTCTGGTTTCCTAGTAATTCGTTTTTAATTATTTAATCATAACACAGTATATTCATGTACCAGTCATGAGTGTCATTTGTTTCATGCTTGAGTCTGATGTAGTCTATAAAGGTCCAATGAACCCAAATATCCCAATTGTGTTTTTTATGTAACTAAAGAAGGATCTAAGAAAATCTTAAATGTAGAGTATGGTATAAATATCAAACCTAAGAAGAAGCCTTTCAGTTCTACTCAAGGTAATTATCTCTCACAACAGGAGCACAAAACTGTCCAGAGCAATTTGTTAAAACAACAGGATTGATTGTAATAACTACAGTGTTTATAGAAGGATTAAAACAAGTGTGTTTTGTTCTTGGATTTATAATTAAAACTTAATAATATTAAAAAACTGAAAAGAAACTTGAATTGGAAAACTTTATTTTTATACAGCCGGGGAAATGTTTCAGAATGCTTATGGTATGGAACCTGGAGTAGTGGTACATTCTGAAAATGTTAAATTGCAATTTGAGACATATTCAATATTATTCATCTTCTGTTTTTATGTTTATTTTATTTTTGAATTTAGTATAAGATTGAATGAATTAAAGAAATAAAAAAAACTTTGTATTTCCCAGAATTTCCCAATATTTCCCAGTTAAGAGAGAATTTGTAGTATTTCCCGGGACGGGAAATACCGGTATTTACCACTGGAATTTCCCACCACTGGTATTTCCCGACCAACCCTGGTTTTATGGTCTCATCCGAAGGACCCGCAACTTTCACTTCAAAGTGATGAGCGCTTGGCGAAGGAACAGTTGCTACCTATTTTTATCGACTTAGGTCAGTCGCGGCCGAGATGCGAACTCACGACCTTCCGATCACGGAGCGAGCGCTCTACTGAGCAACCTAAGAAAACTGTGCTTTATAATCTTTATTCTCCTGCTTTTAACTGGAGCAATAGACTTGTCATTCCTTACCTTTGCTCATGGACTTCAGTGGTCTGGCTATACTGTCCAGACGATCAATGCTTAGGGCCACCAGAGCGTACGTGGAGCCATATGTGGCAACACCTTGTATGAAGCGAATAATTTTACACATGACTACTCCAGCATGCCATTCTACGGTCAGTTTCTCTATAATGTCCAACAACACGAAGAAAAAGCCAACCATTAAATCTGAAAGAAAACAAGACGATATTATTTACGCTTTGCAGTCAGTGAGAGAGAAAATATCCTCATATATTCCTGTAAAAGTAACTTGTTTTTAAATTGCTTTTACATGAAATGAGACGATAGAAGTATTTACATTTTCGAAAATGTTGCATTACCTAATGTAAATCTCAATATAAAATGTATGTATTTATGTTTATTTAAAAAATTATTCTTCCCTTTACATATATACATATGCAGGTACACTAATCAAATACACAGAATATGATAAAGAAAATTGCTGGAAAACTGAAATATTTCCTTCATTGAATAAACGTATTAAACATGTCTAAGAACTGACATGCATTTGTACAATGTACCAGTTATAGTTTTAAATCTCTGGGTGTATATAAAGGTTACAATGACCCCCTCCCCCAAATAATTATTGAATATACCATGTCAATTGGCATTTTACACTGAGTAATAATGGATATCCTCATGTGTAAGTGTTTTTACTCAAGACTACTGTTTGAACCATTGATGAAAGCAATACATATGATGAATTAATTCATCAAAAATTAATTAATTTCAGTAACTGTGACATATCCTACTCCTTGTTCAACCAAGCTTGAAGTTGGATTTCTTTTAACATATAAAATGTTAATTTTGCTCAAAACCTCGTACTTTTTCATGTTCATTAATCTGTATATAATGGATTAACAATGATTAACAAAAGTTACTACAAAGGTAGTTTATTATCTCTTGAAATGTTTAAACAGGAATCCGAAATATTTGTAAATAGAATATTTGATGAAGGGAGTAATTAAAACATACTGCATGATAACAAAGTTTACTCATAATAATTGAAAACGCATTACAATAACAACGCGTGAATGCAATTTATCAGTTTTGCAGAGCATGACACACTACGGATTAAATTAAATATCAAAGATTTGATTTAACAAGCTCACAAAAAAATCATCAAAGAGAAATTCATAACAGAAAGTATGGTGTCTGGAATTCATTGTTAGCACTGCTGAATTAAAAAAATGAACACACTCCCATGTATTGTTTGAATTAATTGATTAGTAATACCTCTTGTGGCTGTTTTAATTTTTCTTTATGGATGCTGAAGTAGTATTAATAATACTAAATTTCCCCTGGGAAAAATGAATTTTGAATTCTGAACAAAATGAGACAAGCCTTAATAGACAGCACAGAAATTGCAGGACTGCTTTGCAGTGAATTAATTTTTTTCCCCATCTGCATTTTAAAAGACAAAGGAGGAAAATATTTTTTCCCCTAAATTGCTAAAGTCAATGACTTGGAGTAGCTTCTTATGAAACGGTAAAAAATTTAAACACAATAACTCCTTTGATGATCTTCTAACTTAAAAAAGTTTGTGTTGCAGCAATCTTTTCATTATCGAGTAAACAATTAATATATCTCCAGGATGTTTTTGCCAACAGGCAATGCTAGCAATGAAATGATTGTACCTTTATCCAGTTAAACTGTACCCGCTTTCCGGTAACTACTTTTATTTTCAAAAGCCCTCAGGAATTGAGAAGATAAATGCAACTTTAATAACGTTAATAAAGTCTTCAGAATCTAAAACATTTGATTGACGTTTAAAGGTTAAAACTTTCCTTATGGAAAATCTGGAAGTCATTGTATGTTTAACTTTAGGTGAAAAAACAGACAAACAGATAAACAGACAAACAGATAAACAGACAAACAGACAGACAGGACAAAAACAATATACCCCCAGGATCTTTCGATCCCGGGGCATAAAAAGATGTTTCAATTTCGAAATTGACTCGAAAGAAAATCAAGCTAGAGAAATATCAATTTCTAAATTGATAGTTCAAAAACATTTGTACAGTCAAACGAATAATAATACATGTATACACGAACAAGACACACATCTCCAAATTGTTTCTTTCTTTCATACATCAATAATAATACAAAGCTGATATTCTTATATGTTAGTATATCTTACTTTTTTACGATGGCCGACAGCGGCCGCCACTTTCTGATTAAGAATATTGTCATTTTGTACAGCGTTTTTGTCAATTTTCGTTGACATATTACAACTAAACTGGTAATGCTATATGTACATGTACACTTTTTACACTGACAATTTACACCAGCGAAAAACATTAAAAATTCTTTCGTGTGATATGAAATTAAGATACATAAAACAGGTGGCTTGAAAGAGATAAGGAGCATTTTAATGATTTTCACCCTCAATTAGTCTGAGATATAGTAACCCAGTTAATCCTAGATTAGACGTAAATCGTCATTCTGTCACCTTGTTGTATTATTAAAAAGATATTCTTGGGATTGTAATTAAAAAGGCGAATAAAAGTAATACGTTTGTTGTAATGGATATACATGAATATAATGGATATATCTCGATCCTCAGATTGTATAAGACAACTCGATTCTACCTATTATGTAGAGGTAGAAAAACAGGATTTAGTAGCTCTACATGTGAGCATCCAATCAAAAGTTTATGGAATGTATCAAAAACAAAACTTTAGATACGGAAATATACCCGTTTTTAAGCAAGAATAAAATGACAACCTTAAATGTGGGAGTCTGTATTTGCTCTCTAAATACATAAAATTAATAACTAAATGCTTGAAACACTTTTAAAGCCAACGCAACCTCTCAAGACTTCCACCTGGTCGGCCAATTATTTTTCAATGTGGCACGGGAATGAAAATATAGGTACATGTAACTAACGTGATCATTTCCTTGTGCGCATTGTTTAAAAAATAAAATTCATACATCAAAGACACGTCCGATTATGAACAAATCAAATTTCTGATAGACCTGGAAAATTTCATCCTGGTTACCTATGATGTGACCAGCAGGTACACCAACATGGAATTTTATGAATTAATTACTACAATCTGTCGAGAAAGTATATCTAGAAGACAATACTAATCTGTAATCACCCCGACCTTCCTGTTCTGCTAGAACCTTAAGCTTATCACCTTCAAGTAACCTGTTTTATGTATCTTCATTTCATATCACAAGAAAGAATTTTAATGATTTTCTCCAGTGTAAATTGTCAGTGTAAAAACTGTATATGGACATATAGCATTACCAGTTTAGTTGTAATTTGTCAACGAAAATTGACAAAAAAGCTGTACAAAATGACAATATTCAGAATCAAAAGTGGCGGCCGCTGTCGGCCATCGTACTTTTTAGTTCTCAAGCTTGCAAAAACAAACTTGGAACAATATATACATGTATATACCTGCTATGGCTAGATCGGCAATGAATATATTCATCCGGGATCTTTTCTTTCTCGTCATGTATATCAAAATCAAAACGATGAGATTGCAGACGAGAATAAAGAGGAACAACAGGCAGAGAAAAATCAACTGCTCCGTCTGTAAAAAAAAAAAAATTAAATTGTCCATCACACAAATGAATTGATGAATTAATTCTGCTTTTCGATGACCAAAGGAATTATGAATATCCGAGAAAAAAGAACAAATGGGTTTCATGTTTCAATCTTTAAATCATTATTTAACGAAACAAGCGGACTGTTATAAAATGAGGCCAACTTTAAAATAATGTTTGCCCTCTCCAAACTCAGGATGAAAGTTGTTGGTATCCAAAGGAAGGTCTTGTCACAAAGAATACACATGCGAAGTTTGAAACCCCAAGCACCACCTGTTCAAAAGTTATGGCCAAGGTTAAAGTTTTTCAAAAGTAGGTCAAACTCCAAGGTAAAGGTCAAACGGTCAAAGTTGTTGGTATCCAAAGGAAGGTCTTGTCACAAGGAATACACATGCGAAGTTTGAAACCCCAAGCACCAACTGTTCAGAAGTTATGGCCAAGGTTAAAGTCTCATAAAATTTTGCAAAAGTGGGTCAAACTCCAAGGTCAAGGTCAAAAGGTCAAATATGATGATACCCAAAGAAAGGTCTTGTCACAAGGAATACACATGTGAAATATGAAAGTCTTTGCTCCAACCAATCAAAAGTTATGGGCAAGGTTAAAGTTGACAAACAGATAAACAGACAAACAGATAAACGGACAAACAGATAAACAGACAAACAGATAAACAGACAAACAGACAGACAGGACAAAAACAATATACCCCCGGGATCTTTCGATCCGGGGGCATAATTAACAGTTTCCTGGAAGTTAAAAAAAGTTTTGAGTCAGGCCATATTTAGTCAGTCGGTCGGGAGAGGGCAACCAAACAATTTATTAAAGATGGCCTGATTTAAACCTCTTGGAAAATATAAATAATGCAAGTTACATGAAAAGTTGTAATTGAAATGTGATAGTGGAAGATTGATTTGCATCACAAAGATGTGTATAGAAATTTTATACCTTTCGTAAGACTCGTTATCAGACATAATCAAAAATTTTGATTTAAGAGTATGATATTTGTAGATATTGTTTTTATCTATTTTAAGCTTGCTTCTGCTCTCTATAATAGATTGCTCGTGTTATAATCAGCTGAAAGAGAAGAGAAAAACAATTGCAGAGTGTGTAATTAGTTTATTTTTTCACGTAAATGATACCCTTGTGCCCACTGGATACAATTGGATCATGAATCTCTAGGCTCGGTTATCTTAAATTACCCTAATGCAGTTCAGTATGGATGCTCTCAACTGTTTAATTTACACAAACTGTGTATTATTTGCAGGGAGGGAGTTTTGGACAAAATTAGGAATTTACCAATGACAATGAAATTTGTTTTTATCAGTACAAGTTCATGTATATATATGGTTTGGAGTGTGGGTTGAGGATTATTTTTTTTTTTTAAATTTATCATCATTTTTGCCTGAGACCGAACAAGGTCATCACAGAGTCACTAGGGACATAGAAATTATCGATTACTTATCGACACAAATCACTGTGGTCATTTTTTTCTGCAGCCTTAATTATCACTCACAGACTTATTGTTCTGTTTTTAGTTCAGTCCCATTTACACATTATGAATCTTGTGTACAAGATTCACTCAACAACCATTCAGTTCAATCGCTATCACCAAGAATCATTGAATCTATGGAAAGAATCACTCTTTCTCTATTCAAATGAAATCCATTCTGGTGTTCTGGTAGGTTGATTCTGTCTAAAAATGCTTTCACCAGTTTTAAACAATTGAAAGGGTCCTTGACTCACAACAATAAAATCTGCCTATGTATTTTGTGTTCTGTCCTTGATACTTCATTTTCTTAACAACGATAATCAACAAAGAACAAAGAGAAACATTATAATTCCTTTCCAACAAAATTATCTACTCGTACAACAGCTTTCAAAATCTCCATGTAAACAAGCACTTTTATTCAAACATGTAAACCAATTGGCCTACAGTCTTGCAGCCTTCTTAAGTTAAAATTGGATCTTAATGATTAAGTGTTAATAAAGATATCACGAAAGATAAACTTGTTGGTAAAACAGAGATCTCTTTTTTTTATTCATAGGTAACAAAATACATCAGATTCTACAATTTGTATGAACAAATTAAACAAATTGCTGACATCTCTTGTCTCCTGTCCACAACTGTTTCTAGTTAGAATCGATGGTAAGTGGAGTTTTGAGCTTATTCGTGTATTTTTCATGTCTAAAACCCTTGTTATACCAGAATTGATGTTCGAGATGAGTCAATACACGACCATATTAACAGTATTGAACACATATTTCTTAAGACGTATACTGGCTTTGAAGGTCATTAAATATCACCTCAAAGACCAGAATAAGAGACCAAATTAAAACAGAAACGAGCAGTTAGATCCAAGAGGAAGTCATAGTTTAAAGCACTCGTTTTTGATTTGTGCACGCTATGCATCTCTTAAAATTGCTGAGGTAAAAATAAAGCATTAAATATCAAAAGTCTAACTAAAGATGGTTGTATTTTTCTTCCAATAAAACTTTTAATTTACACTGGAAACTACAGTTTTCCTGTATTTATCCATTCTCTTGAATTTCAAATTATTCTTTAAGGAAAAACTTCTCCTACGAAACAGCTGTGTTTTATTTAGTCTTAATCTCCATGTAATGAAGCTTCCGGTTTGTTCACATAAAAGTTCCCTGGGCTATGGTGTTACCACATATGCATGATATGGGTTCAAAGCTTAATATATAAGAAAATTATTTTTGAAGTTAATTATCAAATTCAGGAAAATCAGAATCAGTCAAATTACCATGCAAAATATATATGCAATATAGATTCTCGTTTTGTACAGCAGGAGAAGAACTTTAAAAAAAATTTTTTTTAATCATTTACAGATTCTATTATTTTATGAACCACGACAACACTTACTCATTGAAATTTAAGAATCAAGAGGCCCATTGGCAACAACGCTCACCCTTGGCCCCATCGTTCTTCATTCACACGAAAAAATTTTACCACATACTGTAGCCCCACCCTAGCCATGTCTCCACAAAAGCTGAAGTTAAATCCAAACAACATTGGGATGTTTCAATATCAATATGACTAACATGGCCTTGTTTGTTGTTGAGAAGAAGATTTTTGAAAGATTTATTTTCCTGATTGATTGATTGTATGTTGTTTTACGTCCGGTCCCAAAATTTTACTCATATAAAGAAGTCAACATTAACCGATGAAGGGCTTCAAATTTAGACCTTTACTCGGGACTCAGGGCCATTGAGCAGTGAGGTTTCTTTATCGTGCCAACGCCTACTGTGACACGGGGCCTCGGTTTTTAAGGTCTCATCCGAAGGACCCGCAAGTTTCACTTCAAAGTGCCGAGCACTTGGTGAAGGAACAGTTGCTACCTATTTTTTACTTAGGTCAGTCGCGGCCGTGATTCGAACATACGACATTCCGATCACGGAGCGATGGCTCTACCGACTGAGCTACCGCGACGGTCGATTTATTTTCCTGTATACATGCAATATGTAAAATTCTGTATATATGGAATATGTAAAATTTGATCCGAATTATTACCCCATTCTAGCCCCATGTTTTATAATTTGAAGAAAAAAACTTGAGCCCTCACAACTTGGGAATGTTTGAATGTTAATTTTATTTAGTGTGGCTGTGTTATTTTTGAAAAGATTTTTTAAATTGATTTCCTACATATTTAAAACTTTCCCTTTTATGGTCCCATCCTAGCATTTTGGGCCATGATTTGAACAAAACTGAATTTGAACTACCTGAGGATGCTTGCGTGTCAATATGACTAACTGTGATCATGCTGTTCCTGAAAAGATACTAGTATTTAAAGGTATTGCATATAAATTTCTATATAATAGAAACTGTATTTCAGTTTGAAACCTTTGATCCCATTTTGTGGCCCTATCTTGAATCTTGAGTCTAGACTACATAGGAAGCATTCGACTTCTGACTTTTCTTGAGATTTTTATTGTGTAAAATGTGAAGATCACGAACAGTGATCAATCTCATAAATACGGTAAAGAAAAGGAATGATAAACTGGGCAAAAAGTATGGACCCCTGGAAACACCAGAGGTGGAATCAGGTGCCTACGAGGAGTGAGGGTCCTCTGTCGACCGGTCACACCCGCCGTGAGCCCTCTGTATTGATCAGGTAAACGGACTAATCAATATTTAAATTTGCATAAAAACAATGGCGTAACAAATAGTGGGAAACATGTCAGTCATATGACGACCCAAAAAGGTTGTATTTGCAAATTAGGTTATTACAACGACGAAAGAATGCTGACTTTCAACGAGGTTGAAAACCCTGTAAAATCAACTTATCTTTCAGTAGCCTGCCTCAATATTGATCGTAATTAGAACATGCCGTTGAATACCGAATCAGCTGGGAGACATAAACACCATGTGCAGATAATAGTGGAAAGTTATTAAATAGAGAGAGTTGACGATGGAAAAGCTGAAGTCATCCCTGTTTGTTGTATAATTTATAGTTGTTCGTTAGCCTTTAATATCTATAGTCAGTAAAACATCCAAGTATGAAACAGATATGGCAGACTCTGTGGTTTCTTTTATTTTGAATTCACTGGAATATATCAAAATGACATATGAATGAAAATAACTATTGTTAATTGATAAAACTTCGTCGATATACCGAAATGTTGAATTAAAACCCACAGCAAGTTTTCATCTTGCTTTCGAATAAATTCTGCTTCACAAGAATACCATTTTGCTATGATTTGGTCGATACAATCAACTTGTTTGCAAATACAATCTGTCGTTAAGTCGAATGTTGTCTGACTTCAAATTATTAGGAAATTATTTTCACACTGGATTTTTCCGTTACCCAGTCATGACAAGGAGCACACGACGGGTGTGACGGAACAACAAGGGATGCTTACTCCTCCCCTGCACCTAATCGCACCTCTGTTATCAGATATCCATGTTGTTTGTTCATAATTTGTATTATTTAAATGGATTTTTGAGAATAATCAATGTTTGTTATCTTCA